TTCGGGCTCCATCTTGGAAAAAAACTGCTTCCATCCGTGTACCAGTTTAATTTGCAGCCGGACAGGGGGTATCCTTTAGGTCAGCCCGTACCTGTGTAACTTCGGAGAGGAATTCTTTGCAGTTATGGACAGGTGTCTGCAGTTCCGGGTTAGGCAACAAGGTGGCAGGGTTCAGGATTACGGGATCTGTGAATGTGATCCGAGGGGAATCCAACAAGAGCCCCTGGTAGTGGGTGAGCCTGGCATTCGTCATCCATTTCCCAGGGGTTGTTTAAGGATTCCCTCCACCGGGTGGGGCCGTTACCCAGAGGGCCTGTCCAAAGGTTAGTTTATCGGCTTCTCTCACCAGCACGGCAATGGCCGCTATGATGCGGAGGCAGGGGGCCATCCTGCCGCTACTGCGTCTAATTTCTTGGAAAAGTATGCCACTGGTCTCTTCCAGGGACCTAGCTGTTGGGTCAAGACTCCTTTGGCTACCCCCTTTTTCTCATCTACAAACAGAGTGAATGGTCTTGTAGGATCTGGCAAGGCTAAGGCAGGGGCCTGCAAAAGAGCGTCTTTTAGCTGATCAAAGGCCTGTTGTTCTCTCTCTCCCCAACTCCAATCTGGAGCTTCTTTGGTGGCCTCATATAGGGGTCTGGCTATTTCCGCAAATCCTGGAATCCAGAGTCTACAGAACCCCGCGGAGCCCAGGAATTCTCTCACCCCCCTAGTGGATGTCGGGGATGGGATAGCCAGAATAGTCTGTTTCATGGCATCAGTCAGCCACTTGCCCCATCTGCAATCCGATAACCCAAATACGTCACTGACCTTTTACAGATGTGAGTTTTCTTGGCACTTGCCCGATACCCCAGCTCACCTAATTCCGTTAGCAGGTGTTCAGTAGCCTTGATGCACTCCTCTCGGGTTTCTGCCGCTAACAGTAAGTCATCAACATACTGTAATAGAGTGACTCGTGGGTGGCTCCGACGAAAAGGTTCCAGGTCCTGGCTCAGGGCCTCATTAAACAGGGTGGGAGAGTTTTTAAATCCTTGCGGCAGTCTGGTCCAAGTGAGCTGTCCGGATTGGCCCCCATCTTCTTGCCATTCGAAAGCAAATAGCGGCTGACTAATTTCTGACAATGGAATGCTGAAGAAAGCATCTTTCAAATCAAGGGTTGTATACCATACTTGCGAGGGGGGTAGGTGGCTGAGCAAGGTATAGGGATTTGGAACGGTGGGATGAATGTCCTCCGTCCGCTCGTTTACCTTTCGTAGGTCTTGCACAGGCCTATAGTCCCCGCTTCCCGGCTTTCGGACGGGGAGCAGAGGAGTATTCCAGGCAGACTGACAAGGTCGCAGTACTCCTTCCTTTATTAGCCTGTGGATATGAGGGGCTATGCCTCTTCGGGCCTCCTCAGGCATAGGATACTGTTTCACCCGAATGGGGAGAGCAGAAGCCTTCAATTGTATAACTACGGGCGGGAGGTGTTTGGCGAGGCCGGTTCCCGCAGTCTCCGCCCAGGCCGTGGGAAATCTTTTTACCCAATGAGTCATGTCCCCTCCTGGTTCCTGTTGACTCTCAAACAGACGATGCTCGTCAGCCAATGATAGGGACAAGACATGAATCGGGCTCCCTTCTCGATCAGTCACAATTATTCCATCTGGTTCAAAATGGATATGGGCCCCTATTTTGGTGAGTAGGTCCCGTCCGAGCAGGGGAGCGGGGCTCTCAGGGACGACCAAGAAGGAGTGTGTGACCTGGTGTTTTCCTAAGTTCACCTTTCTTTTGGTAGTCCATGTACATAACTGCGTACCGGTGGCCCCCTGAACAACACTTGTTCGTGCCTTGTTCAAAGGTCCATGTGCCTTGTTTAAAACCGAATATTGGGCGCCGGTATCCACCATGAACCCCATCGGCTTCCCCTCCACATGCATTGTTACCCAGGACTCGGGGAGGGGGTCTGAGCCCCGTCTCCTTCAGTCCTCTTCTCCGGCTAGTAGGACTCTGGCCTGCTCTACTGCTCGTTCCCTTTCCCTGTTTTCCCCCGGTCTCCTTCCAAACCCTCTTCTTCCCTTTAACTTAGGACATTCTCTCTTCCAATGCCCCGTTTCCTTACAGTAAAAACAGTGTTCCTTATCCGGGGTCCTGGCGTGGCCCCCTCCTCTGGGTTGGTCCCGGACACCCGCTAGGAAAATACGAGCCATTTCTCTCTGTTGCTTTCGGTTTTCCTTAGCCTGGAACTCCCGGTCCTCCTTTCTCAATTTCTCCTGGGCTCCCTGTCTTCCTTTCTCTGTCTTTCCTCCCTTTCTTCTGGAGTTTCCCTAGCGGTAAAGACCTTTTCTGCTACCTGTAGCATTTCCCTTATAGTCATCTCCCCTAAGTTTTCCTGTTTATTGAGTTTTCTCCTAATGTCTGGGCTGCCTGATTAATGAATGAGAGTACCACAGCAGACCGGTGGAGGTCCGCCTCAGGGTCAATCGGGGTGTACTGACGGTATGCCTCATAGAGGCGCTCTAAGAAACCGGCTGGGCTTTCGTTTTCCCCTTGAATGACTGCTTTTACTTTTGCAAAATTGGTGGGCCTTCTAGCGGCCGCTCGGAGACCGGCCATAAGAGTCTGGCGGTAGATCCGAAGACGCTCCCTACCTTCTGCGGTCCCGAAATCCCAATCAGGCGGCGTAGGGGAAAAGCCTCGTCTATGGCCGGTTGGAGAGTTGTGGGTCTCCCATTATCCCCCAAGACGTTCTTCCTCGCTTCGTTGAGGATGCGCTCTCGTTCCTCCGTCGTAAAAAGAGTATTGAGCAGCTGATGACAGTCATCCCAAGTGGGGCGGTGTGTATGCATGATGGACTCCAGGAGATCTATGAGACACTTGGGGTCTTCAGAAAAGGGCGGGTTCTGCGTCCTCCAGTTATATAGATCACTGGAGGAGAAGGGCCAGTACTGAAACTGTTGCCCTCCTCCCGGTCCCCCTTGGCCCACCATCCGGACTGGAAGTGTAGGGACAGTTTCCTCCCCCTGTGTTGATGAGGGGGCCCGTCTTCCCCCTCCCTTTCCCGGATCCCTCGGGGGCGAAGTCTTCGACCCATTCCTCCTCCTGCTGCCAGTCCTGTTGAGGAGGATGAGGAAATTTCCTCCTCCGGGGCACTGGCTTGGCCAGGGGGAGTCACGTATGGAGGCGGCCGATCTTCCTCTGCCCCTGCGAGGGATGGGTAAAGGGGGGAACTCTCTGGTAAGACCGGAGATGGTGAAGGAGATGCCCTAATTTGAGGACCGGTCAAGGTGGGAAGAGGAAGTTTTTCCTCCTCCTTTATGACCAAGGCGGGCGTGACTGGGGTTTTAGCCCCGGGGGCCGAACTGGAGGGGTGGGTCAGAAAAACTGTTAACCAAGGGGGAGGGTTCCTCACCAGATCCTCCCAAACCAAAATGTAAGAACTTGGTCTGGATGGCCTCGATTGTCTGGCTGAAAAATGACTGCTTTAACCTTAGTGATCAGGTCTAGGGAGAGGGAACCTTGAATGGGCCACCCGACTCCAAAGGTGGGCCACTCTGCAGAACAAAAGGTGTCGAACTTACCTTTCTTGATGACCAGACCCGCATTTAAGGCCCTTTCTTTAACTTCTGGAAAGTGAGAAAGGATCAGAGACTTTGGGGTTGTTTGTCCCTGTCCCATTGTGGAAGGAGACTCAAACACCAAGAGAGATAGAACAAAAAGGGTAAAGGCAACAATAATTCCACACACACACAACACTCTCCAGCACTCGCTCGGACCGGTCCTTCTCTCACACTGGTGCGCACCCCATTCAACCTCCTCACCGTCCAACTGGGATATCAGGCCGAAAGGCGTCCACTTGACGGGTGGTCGGTCGACTAGCTCAATTAGTTCTTCACCTGGCGCCAGGGTTCCTAAAATGCTCGAGCCCAAATGAGAGGAAAGCCTCTCCCAATAGGACCCTGTGGTCCTCCTTGCGAGATTCCCAGAATGAATCTCCCTGGGGATTGGCCGAATCCCCGCCGCGGCCCAAATGGAACACTCAAGTTCCTCCAAATGAGGGTCTGGGATCCCCTCCCAACGCCTAGGACTTGGGATCGCCCCTGCTTTCTCGCAGGCAGGTTCTGTCTCTCGAGAAAATGAAATCTCGGTGGGACCTCCAAATGTTAGGACCCGGAATCCTATTCCCCCGAGAGACAGAGAGCCAGGCGTGAATGCAATCAACAAAGCAGAGTTTATTGGACTGGCTAGCCAGGGTCGAGCTCCCACACGGACACGCAGGACCGGTTAGGAAAGCAAGACCCTGAGCCTCTTAGGGGGAAATCTTATATAGACTGCAGTGGCGTGCATATTTTTGTTATCAACATTAGACAAGCAGGCAGAGCACATCCTGCACGTACTTCACATCTTGCTCGTACCTCACATCTTGCTCGTATCTCACATCTTGCTCGTATCTCACATCTTGCATTCCTCACATTCTATATGCCCTAACTGAGCCCTGCCTCATTGCTTATCTTATCTACATGGGATGTTTGGTACTGGTTTCTCCAACAAGGGGGTTGGGGCCCGCTGAGACCTCATATTCCTTTCACTTGTAGTTAGTTGGCTTCCGTCAGAGCAATGACCCGAGGGAGAGATCGAGGCTAAAACCAGTGTCTTCTATAACCTTCCCCCAGAGGTCACATATCATTGCTTCTGCCATACTCTGTTTGTTCCAGACTAACCCTTAAGTATGGACCAACCCAAAGACATTAATATCAGTAGGAAGCATTAGGGTCTGTCCTGGAGACTGGCCACAATAGAGGGCCAACTCTGATGAGAGTACTACCGAGTTGTATCTCTCTGATAAACCGAGTTCTAAAAAGTTGAATCAAGTTTCCGCCGATAGGTGGCAGCACTTGTCCACATCCTGTCCTTCATTCCTTAGACGTGTATTGATCACCTACTGTGCAACCAAGAGACTCAGAGACCAAAAAGACGTGTTCCTACCCATGCAGAGTTTACACTTGAGTGAATCAACTCTTGCAGTGCAGCATAAAAAGTGTTACTGGTGGTAGAGGTAAGCTCAGTCCTGGTGTTTGGGGAACACAAGAGTAGGGTATTGTGCCAGTGGGGTTCTTTACTAATGAGAAATACGGGATTGAGGAAGGGTGGCAGGACCAGGGTGATTCTGTGCGGCAGGATGAATGGAAGAGGGGTACAGTCCAGATAAAGAGCCTTGGTCTAAGCAAACGGTTTGGAACATATTCTAGAATTATGTGGGAAGCCACTGGAGAGTTGTAAGCTCAGATGTTTACTATCAGGGTTTTAGTTCTGATCCATAGAAACTGACTCAGGGTTACACTTCACAGAAAAGGTGGGGTGCATATTAAAAGGATACGGTATCGCTCAGGGAACACCAGGGAGGGTTGGAATAGCTGCCCCCAGACTAAGCTTCCAAGAACGAAGCTCTGAGCCATGCTGGAACTAACTAGCTGATGAGGAAACTACCATACCTTGGGTGCTGGTGCCAGCCCACCCCACACTGGAGGAGATTGCTGTCACTACTTCCAGGGACCACTACCTCTGCTACCATCAAATGCCACATATTTTGCAGCCTTGCACCAACAAAATGGCAAACGTCAAAAAGAACCCACTTCCTTGCCTCACTTCTAAATCAAAGGCTCATTGGGGTGCATCTGACTGCAGGAACCTAGGTCCCACACCTAAATCCTGGCTACAAAGGAGATTAAGAATTGGAGCTGACTCCTTCCTTGGGGAGGCAGGGCTCACACTATTGGAATTTCCCCCCAAGTGTAGAGAAGTCTATTCAAAAGATGATAGAAGCCACAAATCTAACAGGTATCCACCACTGGAGGCGTGCTCAAGCCTGAAATGCAAATATATCTCTGGCCCTGTAGCAGATAAATTAGATCAGGGCTTCTCAGCCTCAATTCTGTTGACATTTAGAGCCACATAAGTTTTTGTTGTAGACGACTATTCTGTACATTGTAGGATATTTAGTGGCATCTGTGGTCTTTATCCACAAAATGCCAGTAGAATCTGCTCCCTCCCCAGATGTAAGAGCCAAAGATGTAACACAGCACTGCCAAAAGTCCCCTGAGAGGCAAAATCACCTTGAGGGACTAGCTCCGTTAGAAGGCTCTTTTAGTAACTGAGAGAAGAAAGGCATTAATGGAACGACAGGAAATGGAGAGCATGAGCAGGAAAGATACTGCCGAAGTAGAAATAAGAGACCATTGGAAATGACTATATTTGGGAGTTCTCTTAGAGCATAGCTTCAGTTGCTCTAACAGCCCACATACCAGTGACCTAAATAAAATAAAAGTTTATTTCTCTCTTAAATAGCAGTACTAGGCTAATGTGGTCATGTTTGGAGGCCAGTTTACTCCAGTACCACGTAAATTTGAATGTTACCACCTACAAAAAATGGTAACAAGCATATGTCAGACAGGTGGATTGTAAAGAGTCAGTGAGATAATATTTTTTGGGTTTTGTTTTGCTTTAAGCCACTTAGTTTGTGATAATCTGTTAGGGTAACAATATAAAATTACTGCACCTGGGATTCTTGTTCCAATCCTTTGCCCAACAGGGTGTAATTTTCTGGATGGGAGAACTGGTCTAACCACAGGAGTGAAGGAGGATCCTGGAAGTGAACAAGAGCTTCACAAGGCACTGCAAAGATTTAAGGTGACCTGAAGGACAGTTGTCCAAAACCCAAAAGGTCCAAGAAAATTCTATGCCCGCCTTCCCTCAGCTATCTCACTCCTTGAGAACTTTCCTTCCTGTGAATGTCTTCATCAAGGAACACTGCAATTTTCAAAGAATTTGATTTTTTTTTTAAAAAATTTATAAACAGGCCATTTCATAGAATACTCCCACTTTCCTGTAAGACTCCATTCATTGACTACCTTTAGGTGTTCTTTAAAGTAAACTTTTAATTTTAAAGCAGTTTGAGACTTAGAGATTTATTGCAGAAAGTTCCCAAATATCACACATCCAGTTTTCCCTATTAATGCATTAGCCTGGTGTGTGTAGCACAATGAATCAATATTGGTACTTTTTTTTAACTTTTTACTTTATTTAGAATTCCTTGTATTTATTCTTTTTTGCTAATTTCCACTTCAGAAATCTATCTAGGATACCACATTACTTATAGCCATCAAGCGTCCTCAGGCTGTTGTTGGTTGTTACAGTTTCTTAGACTTTCCTTGTCTTTTATGATTGTTTTGAGAACTATTGGTCAGGTATTTTGTAAAATGTCACATAATCAGGGTTTTTCTAATGCTTGTTATATTACACTGAAGTGAGGTGGTGAGGAAAACTACTGAGTGCCATTCTTATCATGTCATATTAATGGTGCACGCTTTCAACATGACTTATTTAGTGTTGACCCTGGACATTTGGCTTCTCCACTGTAGATACTCTTTTATTCTCCTTTTTATATCATACCCTTTGAAAGAAAGTTCTACATGCAGCCTATACTTAGGGAGCAAGAGCTATGCTCCACCTCAGGGGTAAAGTGTCTACATAAATTGTTTGGATTTCTTCTGCACAGAATATTTGTTTATTTTTTTATTAAATATTAATTTATATAAGTATGGACTTACAGATATTTATTTCATATTTTGCATTATAATATAATATTCTTTTTATTGTTTTATTTCTCATCTTTGGCCATTGGATGATCTTTGCATTGGCTCCTACATCCATTTGACATCATTGTGGATTTTTGCTCATTTATTTGTTTTGTCCTGTTGTAATTTTTAAAATATTTTCTTACTTTCTGGAATTATAAGATGTTTCAGAATCATTTATTTATGTCCTGCCCCAATCCCAGAATCAACCAAGGAGCCCTAACTACTTCCTTTTTTTAGAGAATAGAACTAGGGACCAAGATCTGGGTTCTAGGTGTACTCATTGCTATTGGGGTGTCCTTGCTTCTCAGCCTTCCCAGGTGACAGAGTAAGGCTATATGCCATCTCCATAATAGTATTTCTATACGTAGTAATCTATATATTAAGCTAAGCATGAACTCATTCTGATATATCCAACTTTAATCCATTACTTCATGAGTCATAGCCTTCTCTCTTGCTTATCTATAACCTCCCAATACAACTATGGGAACGACCCACCATCTATTTACTTAATTTCTTAATTCCAGTGTATATGTATAGTGGCTTCAGAATAATTAACCTGTAACCCTACGGGAAACATTATCAACTAGGGTGCACATTTGGGGGTGTTGTTGGCAGTACTGGGATTTGAACTCAGGGCCTTGCATTTACTAGGTAGGCACTCTACCATTTGAGCCACACCTGCAGCTCTTTTTTTGCTTGAGTTACCCATGCAGTTGGCTCTCATGGTTTCTCCCTAAGCAGCCTGGACTGTGACTCCTGCTTTATGCCTCCTTCATATCTGGGATGATAGTCATGCACAACCATACCTAGCTTATTGGTTGAGATGGGGGTCTCACTAATTTTTTGCCTCACCTGGCCTCAAACCACAATCCTCCCAATCTCTGCCTCCTGAGTATCTGGGATTACAGGAGTGAACCACCACACCTAGCCTAAGATATGCTTCTTGTATACAGTTCTTGTTGCCTTTAGTCTTACAGACTCCATTCATTCCCAAAGTTACTCAGATCACTCAGGTCAGCACCTTATTCCCCCATGTTCCTCAATTAGGTTGTTTCAAACATTTGTGACCTGGAAATGAGGAGGGGCTTCTGTCATGTATAAGATGATTCTGCCAGACTATAGGATCACTCGTCTCTCTCAAGAAGCAGACAAATTCCAGGCAGCTTCCTCTGTATAGAAATAAACCAGTGATTAAAAACATTAATCTGTTATGAAAATTCAACAGGTCGTCAAGCAATCGCATCTTCTCTTCCCCGCCTTCTGCATCCTCTGATCTGTGGATTGCCCTTTAGTAACGTTTTGAAAGTCGGTGTAACATAGTGGTTGAGAGGGAGGACTCCTAGAAGCATAACACCCACATCGTGAATGCTAGCTGTCATGCCTATGCTTAGGCAAGTCCCTTAGCCTCTCAGTTTCCTCACCTACCCAATGGAGATAGCATTAATTTCCCAGGCAGTCTCAGCAGGGATTAGTGAGTTAATATATAAATGGTGCCCAAAACATAAATGCTCAATAAATGTTAGCTCTTATGTTTCTCTACCTCTTAGATCCCTTTTTATGGTTCCTTTTTAACCAGATTTCTTCAACACAGGTTGGGAGACAATAAAGAGTCAAAGTTCAAAATGTCTTTTACCCCAAAACTGCACCGTGTGGCTCACCCCCCACCCCATATACATATGATCCTGTGCCCTCCAATTTTTGTCTCCATAAAAAATAGTACAATTTTCCTGGCATCGGTGGCTCACACCTGTAATCCTAGCTACTCAGGAGGCAGAGATTAGGAGGATCATGGTTTGAAGTCATCCTGGATAAATAGTTTGTGAGACCCTATTTCAAAAATACCTATCACACACACAAAAAAAAAATCTGGCAGAGTGCTCAAGGTGAAGGCCCTGAGTTCAAGCCACAATACTGCAAAAAAAAAAGTATAATTTGTATTCCAAGTTCAAAAAATGTCTGACATGCAAGTAGCTTGTATATATATGGAAATAACCCACACAGCCTAGAAACTAAGAACCCAATTCCTTCACACTATATGTTGGTCTCTTTCATCAATAAACAATTATTTCTACCTAGGTAATTATGATTTTTTCTTCTCAAGTTTTAATTAAAGGTGACTCTTGATCTACACAGACTAAGACCCTGTCATCTATTAGTAGTTAAATAACTAATCTTGCATTCTAGATTACCATTGTGAGTAGGCCAAATAAGCAGGAGTTCTCAGCAAATCTTCAGTTAAATATAGAAACGTAAAACAAACTATGAAACTGGACAGAACTTTGCTGGCCTTTGTTGTTTTTAATGATAAGCTAGGCAATTTTGCCCTAAAATGATTCCTTGAACAGAAAGGGAAATAATTAGCTAATTTCTAAAACTCTTTCCAAATGAAATAAGACAGGCTACTCTCTCTTCTTAGACCTTTGTTTCCTAAACTCTAATTTTTCAAAAGGGGCTCAAAAGTATTTCTATGTTCCACATGAGTTATGCTGTTTTCCTCATAAGCAGCTATATATATATATATATATATATATTTGCTTAAAAGCGGTATGTTAAGTAAATAGTTCTCGAGACCTCATCTCCAAAATAACCAGAGCAAAACAGACTGGAGATGTGACACAAGAGGTAGAGAACCTGCTTTGCAAGCACAAAGCCCTGAGTTCAAACCCCAGGCCCACCAAAAAAGTGGTATATAAAGGAGAAGATTTAATTAATTTCCAAATACAGGAAAAGATTGTAGAAAAAATACAATACAGTTAGTCCTCCATATCTGCATGTTCCACATCCATTGATTTCACCAACACAGATCAAAAATATTTGGAAAATCATTGCATCTGTACTGAGCATATACTGACTTTTTTCTTGTCATTATTCCCTCAACAATATAATTTAGCAACTATTGATACATCATTCACTGTCTATGTAATCTAGAGGTGATTCAAAATATACAGAAGGACTTGTTTAGTCCATATGAAGCTCTACTCCATTCACTGTAAGGGACTTGAGCATCTGCAGATTTCGGTATAGGCAGGAGATCCTGGAACCCATCCACCATGAATGCTAAAGGATTACTCTAGTATGAAAACTCAACTTCGCAAACTTCTTAAATACAGGAAGAGAGAGAGAATGAGAAAGAAAAGAAACTGCTGTTGCCACCCAAGGAGGATACTGAGAAAAGGACAGAAACACTTAGAGATATTCTCTGATTTGTTTTCCATGTGGTATGTGATATCATTCATCTTCCATATCTGCTTCTGTATTTTTTTCTAGTACACTAAAAATCACAGTGCAATTTCATGTGCTCATCTGTGTAGCACCTGAAATTCCCTTCCATTCCTCCAGGAACATGTGTGTCATCAGAAACTGCCTCAAATGATTTTTCTCACTTATGGATAATAACTGGGAAATTCACACTTCCAGCAACCTCTCCCCTCAACTCCAGCTACTCACCCAGCGCCACCATCTCAGCGTCTAGTACCACTGCGTCCACCATCACACCACTCCAGACACACTGCCCTGCCTTTGCTGTTGCCTTCACTTGTTCCCTTCAGTGCTCTCCTGCCTGCCTGCCTTCTAATAGTTAGATCTCAACTCACGTATCACTTCCTCAGAGAAGTCTGCCTGGACCATCCTAACACAGTAAGCCCACCTCCCCCAGCTGCATCATTCTACCAATTACAAGGCCATTCCACAAACTACATTCCCTTATTTCCTTCATAAGATATTAGCTTTCCATCACTATAATGAAATACCTGAGATAATTCACTTAAAAAGAGAAAAGGTTTATTTTGACTCACAGTTTTAGAAGTTCCAATTCATGATAGGTTGGCTTTGTTGCTTTGGGTCTGTGACAAGGTGGCACAGGCGTGTGTGGGGGAACAAAATTGCTTGGCTTATGGCCAGGAAGCAAAAGATAGAAAAAGGAAGAGACCAGAGTCCCACGGTTCCCTTCAAGAGCACTCCCCCACTGACCTTAGGACTATCCATTAAGACTATCCACTAGACCCCACCTCTCAAAGGTTCTACCACACCCCAGTGGTGCCACACTGGGGACCAAGCCTTTAACACAACCTATGGGGGACATTCAGCATTCAATGTATACAATAGTACATGTTACAATCTATACATTTTTGTTTGTTTTGTTTACTTGGTCACTCTGTGTTCATCTGCCAGAACATAAATTCCATGTGGACAGAGATTCTTTCTTTTTTGCTAGAGAGGACTTTGCACATAGTAGGCCTTCAATAAATATTTGCTGATTGAATGAATTGATTAATCTATGATGACTGTCTTCAGGCTCATGTCACCATTAATACAAATAAAATTAACACAAATCATATACAAATCAACTTTTCCAGCACTTCATAATTTTAACTTTAAATTTCATAATTTTAATAGCACATTCTCACATTCTCAATGTTTCTCTTTATCAGAGCCTATCAAGATACATGCTATTTTTTTGATGGTACTGAGGCTTGAACTCGGGGCCTCACTCTTGCTAGGCAGTAGCTCTATCACTTGAGCCACTCTGCCAACCCAAGATGGATACTATTTTTATCCCTATTTTATCCTTGAGAAAACTCAAGAAACAGGTAACCATAACTCAATGTACTTTAAATGAGAAACTTCAAACTCTGTCAGAAGTACAGACAATGCCAAGTGAATGTGTCCACTGTTCTTATCAGAGGTACTAAATTTCCTGATTTTCCCAAAATTGTTCTGACTTTAGTACTGAAGAGCATGCATCCTGGGAAAACTAGGGCAGTTAGTCACACTATCCCACCAAGAAATAGTAGATGAGACATAAGACACTTCATGCAATCAGATCCCTGGACATCTAACATGCATGGACTATCTGGGTGCAATGGAGCATGCCTGTAATCCAACATTCAGGAGATAGAGGCCAACCTGGGCTATAAAATGAGACCCTTTTGAGAGAAAGAAAAGAAGGAAGTAAGGGAGGGAGAGAGGAAGGAAAAAAGAAAAAAGGAAAGGCATTGACCAAAACATGAGGATTGGGGTGGAGATGGTATTTTAAAATCTAAAGATGCCAAGTAGCATAATAGTTGATAAATTCATACAACTTATATCAAAGAAATGCTGGGACATAAAGTCATTAATTGCATTCTGAAAAGGAGCAGACATTTAGACATGCTTTCTGTGTTCCTACCCTGAAGAACAAAGATGCCACTTAAGTTGGCCTGGTTGTCAAGCCACATGCATTCACACTGAATCTGATGTCCACCAAAAGTCCAAAAGGTACTCCATGCAGTAGTAAAGTCATATGCCACAAGCACCCTGACCTGAGGAAATGGTAAGACAATTCCTCTTCTTACAAGTCAACATTTTTTGTAGTTCTGGGGATCAAACCCAGAGCCTTACACATACTAGGCAAGTGCTCTACCACTGAGCTACATCACCAGCCAATTCAATGAAATTTAACACCCTTTTCAACACACTGAAAGCCTTGATTTACTCATTTTGATAAAGCAGTTGAAACAGTTTCACAAGTGTGGTGTGTGTGTGTGTGTGTGTGTGTGTGCACGCGCATGTGCACACGTGTCGTAAGGAAGTAATTATTGCATAGGTGGTACTGTCTTTTCATCTGGGTAGAGACTGTAGTATTCATTCATGCTATTGGGTAATTGTAGTGAAGCAATTATGTATCACATTTTGAAAGAGTCATCTAAAAAAAATTCACCACTGAAATGACTCATACTTAATTATCTTGGCGTTTTGGCAGTTCGGTTAAAGGCGCAAGTGGAGAATACATCAGCTTCAAAGCCAGAGGGACTCAAAGGTGCTCCTCAACTTTGGACAGTTCCTGTACTTGAGGTAAGAATCACGAACAATCTTCAGGTTTCTAGCACATGAGTTCACAACAGGGATCTCTCACTGGAGGTATCCTGGATCTGGCAGGACATTGTCACATATTCTGAGTTACTACTTTCTGCTTGAGCGTTTCCTGTGTATTATTTACCTCTGTCATTTATGCTTGCCTAGTGCTTCCTAGGGAAGAGATTTCGTGAACTGAACAGCCCTAAGAAGAAAGGTCAGTTGGGATTGCATATTTAATTTTGCACCATAAAGCCATGTTAAGAGAGTTGATCACTAGTCTGGACTTATTTTGGCCTTTCCATCACTACAATACAATACCTGAGATAGTTAACTTATAAATAGAAAAGATTTAGAGAGGAACCCAGCAAGTGGCAGAAAATTCTGTCTTGTGTCTCAGTCAGCATGGTTAGGACTAAAGAGCTAGCATGATCTCTGTGCTTCGGAGCCTGGTATGAAACCACATCAATGACCTAGATCCTGCCAGAGCAAAACTACCAACAACTTGCCTTAATTGTTGAACTTGTCAGGGTTGAACTTGGTGTTTGGAATGAAAGCCTTGGCAGGAATTTTCAAGGTCTTTTGTCACTGGAGATCTTGCTATAAGATCAGATAGAAGAGCTGAATCTCTTGAAATGTTTCCCAATTCTGTCAATCTTCCACACCTGTTGATTCATATTTCTATATGTAGTCATTTTGTCTTAACCAATATGTTGTAATATCTTTATAGTTGTAGACGTCTTTAAACCTGTTGAACTCAATTTTTCAACATGTGCCTCTGTTTTGAAGGCTGCGTTTGACTCACTCATCACTCCCTAAATCAGTGTTTCCAAAGAACTTGCCAATGGGCAGTAGTTGTAGCTAAGCTGTGAGTCTCGGGAATTTTCTAAATTGTACTGGTGTTTTCTTACTCTTAGTGTTTGGGATGGACCAGTCAGGGACCATTTGATTTAGGAGTGTTATTCTGTCTCTATGTTGGCAAGGAAATATAATAACTACTGATTGAATCTTGGAAAGAAGCAATTCCACAGAAGCAAGAAAATAGGTAACTTGAAGGAGGCTTTAAGTCATCTCAGATCCTTTCTTTTAATAGGCAACTCACCCTGCCCTTACTTGTCAGCCAAATTACTTAACCTTTTAAGAGTCATCACCTTGCTTGACAAGGTTCCTATCCTTCCCTGCCCATAAATGATCATCCTAACCAAACAATTCAACTGAAAGTTAGCTACAGTCCATCCCTTTCTATCCCAGTAATTTCATTCACTCATAAAATGTCTAGAGGAAAACCTTGTTTTCCTATCTACAATTTCAGGTTCCTGGATCTCCATCAACATATACCACTTCAGAAACTTCCTTTGCCCAAGAAGGGAGAACAGATTTTTACCGCTTAAAGGGGATTTAAAACTCCATTTATGCCCTCCAAAATACAAAGGATGCTTGAAAACTTCCAGATATTTATTAAATTGTTGCATATTGAAGATGGCATCAAGAAACTCCTACTTAAAAGTCCCTGATGAAAGTGAAAAACCTAGCATTTATCAAGCCATTCAAAGAAAACAACTCATAAACTTAGAATTAGAAGCCAGAAGAACAAGATTTGACTTCAGGTGTCTGTGGGATCTTGGATGAGTCAGTCAGACTTTATAAGTCTCCATGTCCATGTGTCTAAAATGGGGGTGAGAGAATAATATCTATGTTGCAAGTTGTGTAAATGGTAAAAAAAACACACAAATTTATTATTTTCTGTGTTATTCCATTAGTGACTAATATCTCTGGATCAGTTTATTGTGCTTTTCTACTGAGGATATGGAAATACATATGTGTATGTATTTGTTACATATATATGTATGTATGTATGTATATATTTCACAAGTATCTCATGTATGTATTTCACATATATATGTACAGATATATATGAATGATGGCTTGATTTTTCTTAGTTAACCGGAATCTTATAAATCAGTCAGTAAATATTTATTCATTCCTCTTCCTTAATTTTCATATTGTCTAGTGGGTACAGATTTATTGGTCAAACTTTATTACCATTGCTTTCCACTGCTATGGAAATGTTATACTCTTAGAAAAAATCCCTCTGATGCTTACCTTGGCATGGCACTTACACTTACAATTCTGCCTCTAGTGACCACATATTGGTGTGACCTCACCACGTGTTACAGTGTGGAAGTTAAATAACCACTCATCTGAGCCCAAGAACACTACCCCTGCTCCCATAGTCTCATCCATCTGGGCCCCTTGACCACTCCCCAGGACAACTAAACAATCATGGAAGGCCTAGCACAGCAGGAAGTGACTGAACCTGCTTCCACTCTCAGCAAAGGATATTGTAATATCACCCTGTCTCTCAAGACATGGAGGCCTTCGTCCACACTCCTCACATTTTCTCCAACACTCAGATCACTCATTGCTTGCCCAGAGACCCTGTCTCATACGGAGTCCCTTCCCACTGACTCTCACTCCCATTCCTCTGTGTTTCCCTTAGTGTTGTCTGTACCCTGACCATTCTCGGCCCTTCTCCTCACCCCTGCCTCCAGCACTGCTACCCAGGCCCCTTCTGTAGATTACTCTGTTGACCCCAAAACAATTCTGCAGGGCTGAAACATCACACTAGATGCACAAGGCCATACCAGTGTAAAACACTGAAATGCCTCAGCATCTGATAGTAAAGAGCCACAACTCTATGCCCTCTTATCCCCTGACCCAGTGCCCCAACCACTCTGACCACTTCTCTAAGACTTCCCCACCCCCCACCCCTGCCATGGTCCAGCTCCCAACTTCCTGGGCCCTGCTACAGGACTGCAGCCAACAGCTGTTCTTACGGGTACCTACGGTTTACTAGTGTGGAAATGGTGTGTTAATCATCTTTGTACCTTATTAATTCATTAATTCACTCCACCAACGCTTATCAGTCAACACTGTGTCCCCAATCAAGAGTCTTCAAACTAAACAAAGTCTCTGCCCTCATTTACTTGCATTCTGGTAGGGGATGCAAACAATATGCAAAAAAAATAACATACACACAGATAAATATAAATTTTGATCAAGGGTTCAAGGAAATGAGATTAGCTCAGGGAAGTCAGAAATGGCTCAAGAAAGGATATTATGCTTTAAGTTGACCTATCAGAATATACCAGGTTTCTGCTGTCTGGAAAGAAGGGAACAGCATAGTTACACAGCATGTATTTAGGGACCAGGAGCTCAATTTGGCTGGATGGTAGATACACGGAGGAAGATCCTGGGAGGCCAGGTGAGAGATGCAAGAAAGTTGACTAAGCAAGCCTTCTTAGACCTATAGACAGACTTACGTACAGACAGGCCAAGACCAAAATTCTAACCCTCGTGGCCCACCAGTAAAATACCCACATGAGCATTCACTAATCTGATCACAGGCCCAGAATATAAGTTGGTCCTTGAGCTGCATTGAACAAAATGCTAGCTCAAAGAATAAATGGGGTAGCCTTCAATGCACCAAACCAATATACTGGTGTGATGTTTTCCTGAAATGTTTTCACTGACCCCATTTTCTGCCAACAGGCTGTCATCTTTCCAGAAGGGTACCTTTTCCCATTTTACCCAAAGCCCCAAGAAAGTTTGCCTGACACTTTGTTCCCTAGCCATTGTCTGTCCTTTCCAAGAAAATTCTCTAGAACATTCATTTGTCTATATCATTCCATTCCCACCTCCATGGCCTCACCTTTAAGCCCACAACCCCCCCTAATAAAACTCATCACCTACTTTAGCCAGTTTCCCACCCCTCACCTTCTCAAAATGATCTCTTTTCCTTCACATAGGATGTTCCTAAATCCTAGTCTCTCTTCTAACCCATCCATACCTGACCACCTAGCCACACCCCTCCCTCTGTCCAAACACTCTCAAACTTCCTTGTCCTTGACTTCCTCCACAAGGTCGTCTTCCTTGATTTGCTTCTTTGTGAGTTAACTTAGTGGAATTTGTCACTGGTGGGTCTTTGTCATGTGAGACTACTGCAGTGATAGCTCACCCAGACTGTAAACTTCCAACACCAGGAAAAAGGTCGATGAAGGTATTACTCACTTGGCTTTCATTATGAGAAATCTATATCACTGTTGTTATTGGCACCTGTGATTCATCCAACAAGAAAATGGGATGGCATTAATTTGAGAGATGGCATTGATTCAACAGGCATATAATGATTACTTATATATCCCAAGCATGGATGATATAACAGTGAATACATGTGGTCCCTCTCCTTGGAGAGGATGTTTATTTAAGTAAGATTTTTTGGGCTGGTGAGTGGCTCAAGGGGTTAGAGCACCTACCTGGCAAGCATGAGACCCTGAATTTCTGACAGACCCAGTGCCACCAGAAAAATAAAATAAGTAAGAAATTTTCATGTGTTTACCATGAGTCAGCATTGTACTAGACTCTGGAGTTAGAGAAGCAAAACATACCCCCTATGATGAAGAGACCCTCAGTAAAAAGACAATTGCAGTACAGGACAATACATCCATAGGCCAAGGACTGCCCTGAGTTCAGTAGAAATGCATAGGGCACACATGACCCAATTCACAGCCTCATTGAAGGAGGTGATAATTCAGTCATCCAATCATTCAGTATTCACCCATTCGTATTTACTCATTCATTGACAGTCACTGTTCAAAATGCTGGAAGATTGAAATCCTTCCTTGTGAAGCCTAAAAATTATAGCAGGGGAAAATGAACAATAAACAAATTAGTAACTATATATGGTACTAAATGATAAGTGCTTTGGAGAAAAATAACTCCAGAGGTGGGGCACAGGAACTATCAGGGTCATGGGGAAGGGCCTTTGTTCTGTATACAGTGGTTAGGAAGGGTTTTCTGAAGTGACACTTGAGGATATTGCTGAAGAAAGTGAAAGACTGGCCATATGCTTCTCTGAGAAAGACTGGACCAAGCAGAGGGAACAAGTAAAAAGGAGAGACAGGCTTCTTAGAGTGTTGAAGAAAGACCAAGTCCATGGGCAAGGCTGGAGCAAGATTCTCCAGGTGAGTGTGGTCTACCACACTGGAGGTCACTGGGGAAGCAAAGGTGCAGAGTGGGGAGGGTTTTGCTGCCAATGGAAGGCTTTGGCTCTTGCACTGTGTGAGACAGGGAAACTCTGTAGGGCTTTACCAGAGAGGGCAGAGCAGTGTAGCAGGATCTAATGTTTCTTTTAAAAGCTCACACTACTGTGGTATGGAAAATGGCCAGAAAGGACAAAGGGAGACCAGTAAGGAGACTGTCACAAACATCCATGTGAGGTGACATTGACTTGAAGGGGGTTGGTGGAGGTCATGAGACCTGCCTGCAAGCAGACAGCATCACGTGTCAAATGCTCCAATGAACAAACGCTCTGTGCAAATAGGTGTGTTGGAAGCACATTGGAGAGCCTAAGGCGCCCCGTGTGAATGACTTGGTGAACGATGTCCTTACAGAGGACTTTGAAGCTAGCCCCGGAGGCTGCTCTAACCACATAGAATGTTGGTATGTGACCCAGAGTGGGTGCATGCAGGTGTGTTTATATCGGGAGGGTTTAACAAAACAAAACAAAAAAATAAAACAAACATGAGAGAACTGTCCAAGCAAGCAAGTAACTGACAGTGGCCAGCTCAGAACACCACCACCTGGAGAAGCAGAGACAGTTACTAAGAAATGTGGTGCCAACAAAGTAAGGTCTCAATTGCCAAACTAAGCTTACACCCAACCCTGTGGAAAAAGGGTTTTTAAGCAGATGGGAGATTGTCTTTTAGCCACTAAGGCCATCTGGCTAAATGACTGACTTATTTATTCTACAGTGTCAAGAATCCCCACCCCACTGCACTCAGTGTCCTTCCCAAGGTCTATCTCGATTGTTATTTACTATTACGCTATCATATTGTATTGCATTGTGTTATGATTGTGTGTGTGTGTGTGTGTGTGTGTGTGTGTGTGTTCACATGCACGCCTGACTTGCCTCCTAGTCTGTGGGAAACAGAGGTTTCATGTAGGCTACGTGTAGGTCATTTCTACATCTTCAGCACCTGTAACATTCTGGTGTGTTCAGGAAATGATCACTGAATGGATGTATAGTGGGTCAGTGGAGTGGTTGGATAAATGGAGTTCTGGAAATGAGCAATTAAACTGACAAAGCCTAAAATGTTTGATGGAATTGACCAATAAGGAAGACAAGAGAAATAAAGAAACCATAAATGTCAATTAATTGCAGATGCAAACAAAGAAGGTCCAAGTCTTCTGGGGATGCTTCCTCCTGTGGAATCTCCACATCTCATCCTCTCGGACCATTTACCCCGGAATCAAGGCAAGAATTACCCAGCAGGCACTGGACTATGGTGAGTTGGATGCTTTCAGAAGCCAAGCAGTAGAACCTGGGTGGTCTATGACCCAAATCAGCAGCAGCTCACAACTTAGACTATCTCATAACTGTGACAAGTGCTCCCTTATACAGAGCTGTTAAGATGGCTGGGAAGAAAATGTTGCCTAAAAAAAGTCACTCTGGTGAGAGGCATACCCAAACACAACCACAGATTCTCCCTCTCTTTCCTCCCCATCCCTCTCCCTCTCTCTCTCTCTCTCTCTCTCTCTCTCTCTCTCTCTCTCTCTCACACACACACACACACACACACACGCACATGCACACGAACACAATGAGCATTTGAGGATAGAGGAAAGGAATTTGAGAGTAAAAGCAACTCCTTGGGGCCTCAGAAAGTGCTCGGTTTCAAAATGAATTTGGAATCCTCTAAAATCATGTGCAAAATTTAATGTGGATGGTGATTGGCATTTTTCTTGAGAGAAGTTCCATCACAGTTGCTAGATATGCAAAGAAGTCCTGAGACACTGGAAGATTAAGAACCACTACAAACCAGGTATGGTGGTACACATGTATAATCCCAGTTACTTGGGAGGCAGAGGCAGGAAGATCTCAAGATCAAGGCCAGCTCTGGAAAAAGTAGTAGCAAGATCATGTTTCACAAACAAAAGGGCTGGGGACATGGCTCAAGTGATGGAGTACTTTCCTAGCATCTGTGAGGGCATGGATCCAATCCCCAGAACTGAAAAAAAAAAAAAAAACACTGTATTAGTGTTTTATAAAACTAGGTAGAGAAAAGTGTTAGAATGTGATTTCCTTGGGCTAAATTGAATGGGGGATGGAGGAGCAGACTTCAAAATCAAAGCATATAGATTTTATTTCTTTCCATAAAATTTTTCCTAAGACTAGCTGAATATAGATTGACAGATTGACCAATTCTATTTAATTAAAGCAATCAACCAAAGCACTACTAGTCCAACCAAGAAATACCTAAATTTAACCAAGAAAATGCCTTTCTTACTATACCAGAAAAAAAAACAAATAAATGAGGAAAGAAAGAAAAAGAGGAAGGGATGGATGGGGAGAGAAGGAAAAATTGGTTTGGGGACAACTCCTTATTTTTTCCCCAATACTTCATGGGGCACAGGAATCTAAAATTGATCCACCTTGCACCGTTCTGTTAACAGTGGCATGTATATAAATACATACAGGGAATGTGTATGTCCATAAATGTGTATGCATGGGTCTGACTTATGTGCTTATATGTATAGGAAGATATATCAGGAATCGATATCTTGTGATGGTATTAAAGTGCAGATTTTCTACCCTCTGGACCAAAGATCTCAAGTCCTGTTCTTCCCCTTTTCTCAATGCGTGACCTTGGCCAAGAGGGTTTTCTCATCTGGAAAGCGGTGAGGAAAGTGGTGTCTCCTACCTCTAGAGTGACATGAGGGGCAAGTGAGATGAGCCGTGTAAACACAGCCTGGGATGTGGTTTGGGGCGGGGCTGCAGAACAGGCTTTGAAGTCAGAGTTGTTTCTTGAGCCTCCACCATGCCAGGCTCTGTGAATATTCTTTAGGGCCTCGTGCTGATTTAATTCTAACAACAACCTAATGACAAAGCTGCTGTCATATTACAGAGGTGGAGACTGAGGTTTCCCAAGTTACACACCAGAAGGGGCTCAGGCAAGATATGGACCCAAGTCTAGTTTTAGTCAGCTTTTCCTCACTGTGACGGAACACCAGAGGAGAATAATTTAAAGAAGGAAAGATGTGTTTTGGCTCAGATTTCAGAAGTTTCTGTCCACGGTCACTTGGCTCCATTGTTTCTGGGACTGGGGTGAGGCAGAACATCAAGACAGGAAACTCATGGTGAAGAAAAGCTGCTCACCTCATGGCAATTGGGAAGTAAAAGGAAGGACCTACTTCCTCCATCTGGGCCCCACCTCCTAAAGTTTCCATCACCTCCCAATAGCCCATTGAGCTAGGAATTCATCAATGGGTTAGTCCATTGATGACCTCAGAGCCCTCATGATCCCATCACTTACAAAGACCCCGCCTCTGAACGCTGCTGCTTTGGGGACCAAGTCCTCAGCATATGAACTTTTGGGGAATATTTCAGACCCAAACCATAACAGGTCTGTTCTTCTTAATCTTAAAACCTTTGCTCAGACCCACTGCTTTCTTATTCTTCCACCACCTGGTTAATGACATTCACTGACTGTGGCTAATGGGTAAGTTAGTGACCCGCACCAAGTCTCAGCTGCCTCCTATATGTAATTGGGATAATGATACCTGTGTTGTTGAGTTGCTTTGAGGATGGAAGCAGAGAACAAGTCTAGTGTGTGGATGCTACTAGTACATACAGGCACTCGAAACAAATTAACTATTATTATTTTTACCCCATCAACTATTTATGCTCCCACATTTTTCCAGAGAAAAGATTTGGTGTGTCGATCAGTAATTGTACCTGCAAGACATTTATTAAAGATAACAATAATAGTAGTCACCCATGGGGTTGTTGTGGGAAATGAACACATTAATATATATGCCCTCATGTATATGAGAGCTGGAACCTGGTGATAGAAAATACCCAGAAAATATCAGCTATTGTTATTTTACATGTGTGAGCAGACCTCTCCACAGTTACTATTGCACTCATGTCTCAGGAGCAAAGTAAGGGACAGAGAGGTGACACAGCTTGCTAATTCACACAAGCTAGTAACAATGTTGGGAGTCAAACATGGACTTTCTGAGAGTTCCTTCCATTCTTTTCTTCATTTCTTTTCTGCCCCCATATTTCAATAGTAGTCATTTTAGATGCTAACATCTGTTCTTCATCTTCGACGAGGATAAAATAACTGGGAATGAACTTAAACTGAAAAGTAAGGGATAAAGGCAAAATTTTCTCCTTGAAGTTAAAATTAAAAGACTTAACTATGGAAACTTCTATTTTTTAAGCTTTTTAATGTGGAAGAGTGCTCTCCCTCCACCCCCATGAGCTCAGGCAAATATGTTCTGGGTGCTTCCACACAAAGAAGTTAATGAGTTATTCTGGGAGGAAACAAAAGTAATGATTACCAATCATTTTTATGTCTTGAGACCCTTTGTCAATCTGGTGAAAATGTGAATCCTTTCCTCTAAGAATGAGACATATAGGCACACACAATTCACACAGTTTTTGACTAAATTTTCAGATGGTTCAAAATTCCCTATAGCCCATGGACCTCAGGCAAATTTTTAGAAAAAATACTTGAGTTTAAAGAATCTGGAAAGAAAGAAGAATGCAGAGCAACTTTTTGTTGCAACCATAGCACACAGATTCTGAAGCCAAGTTGTTCAGATTTGACTAATAGTCCCTTCCACACGCACATACCTCAATCTTAGCTTACAGTTTGGACCAGAATTGACCTCCCTGTGCTGAGTTTCTTCACCTGTAAAATGTCTGTGACAATGACAGCAGCATCCTCTAAGGAGTAGTGTGCACTTTTCCCATCACATTGTCCTGGGATCAAACTCCTTAGCCCTGGCTGCATAATAAGAATTTCTCTGTGATCTTGGCCAAGTTCCTTAACCTCTTGGAAGACCAGTGTTTCCATGCAGAAAGCAGAAACAAATAATACCTGCTTTGTAGGGATGCGGTTTTCTTGTCTAAGAGCAGGTCTTACTCAATAAGTTGCATTGTCAGGATTAATTATATTACCTCATTATCATCTTTATTATTATCAATAAACACATTCTTGTTTTCTTCACAGGTGTTCAAGTTGGAATGAAGATGATTGAGCAAATGGTAAAGGAAAAGAACATCCCAGATATAAAAGGTTCTGAGTCACTAGAATTTCTAAAAATTGATTATGTGAACTACAATTTTTCAAAGTAAGTAAAAGAAAAGAACATTTTTGTTTTGCATATAAGAAGTGCAAAAGAAACAATGGAGGAATCCTGTGGAAATCTCATTATTTTAATCAAAATACACCTTCTTTTTCTGCTCCACTATCCTTAGCTCTGACATCTATTCTCAAGTTTGCCTCATAGCCCAATATGGCTATTGCAGTTCCATCCATCAAATCCATATTTCATGCAACTGAATCAGGAAGAGGCAAGGGTAAAGGGCTCTTATAAGCTGAGTCAGTCTTTTTGTTTGCATTTTTTGTCTGAAGCTGTACCCTAATAATATTCTGTCTGTACAACAATGGACAGGACTTAGTCATATAGCTACACTTGCTAGCAAGGAAAATTGGTTTTCAACAAGATAATTTTGTCATCACAAAGTTTTGGCAGTACTGAAGGTTTGAACTCGGGGCCTTGTACTTGCTAAGCAGGCCCTCTCCCACTTAAGTCACACCCCCAGTCAAAATCAGGGATCTTTAAGGAAGAAGGGGAAATGAATGTTCAGACAGCAACTGGCAATCTCCACCATGGTTGCCAACAAAAGCCAGAAAGGCAGCAATCTTGAGCTCAACCTTAAAGTAGATGGGAAAGTCAAGCTTTATAAGGAGTACTGTGTGACTGACCCAAATTTTCCCCAACACCTTTTCAATCCAATACAAATGCCCTGTGACTTTAACCCTTCGGAGTAATAATTCCCCTGCCATAAATGATAACCTTTTATAAAATCAACAGGTTTCTTTGTGGGAGAAGGAGAAATGATGATATCGATAAAGATCCTAATGAATACCTAGTCTGTACAAAGTTAGCTACTCAAGTACTTATTGAGCACCTACTGCATATCAGGTTTTGATTTTGGCATAGAGGACAGTGTAGTGAACAATATAGATATATCTCTTTCCCTTAATGTCCAACGGGAGAGATGGACATTAATTATATTTGTAAAACTAATTAATTAATTACAATGATACTGCAGGAAGATACACGGAGCATTATAGAAGGACTGGCAAAGATGAAAAACAGATATTCTTGTACAATGTTGGCTGGAGTGCCAACACTATATCAATGTTGGATTTATTAATTAATATAATAATTTTATATCTGTCCTATCCAACCTTCAACACTAATCACATATGGCTCTAAGCACTTGAAATGTGACTTGTGGAACTAAACAGTGCATTTTTATTTATTTCATTTAATTAATTTTAATTTTAAAATGTCAACACTTGATTCAACTGAATCAACTTTTAAGTGAAACACTGAAAAACTTTTAAGTGTGTTTGGAATAATTTGAGTATGTGTATTTACTTTTTGCAACTGAAATTTTTATCAAATCTAAATACAGATCAAGTGTTTCTGATAAAATCCAAAGTCTGAATTGAGGTATATCATGAGTATACAATAAACACATACCAGATTTTGAAGACTTATTTTGGGATAAAAGAAAGTCAGATTGCTCATTAATTCTTATACTACTACATCTTGATGTTACAAGAAAATATTTTGTATGTTTTAATTTAATTAACACCAGTAATTATACACATTTATGGAGAACAGCATGACATTTCAATAATGTATACAATGTGTAATGATTAGATCCTTAACTGGCATATCTGTCTCCTCAGGCATTTGTCATTTCTTTGTCTTAGAAACATTCAAACTCCTCTCTACTATTTTGAATACCTGTGAATTGTTATCAACTATAGGTATCCTACATAAAACAGATCAAAGGCTTAAACAGAAGATGTAAAACTGAAACTACTAAAAGAAAATAGAGGACAAATGCTTTGGGACATCGGCCAGGGCAAATCATCTTGGATGTAACCCAACAGCACAGGTGACAAGCAAAAATTAGCAAATGGAATTAGATCAAACTAAAAAGCTTCTGTACAGCAAAGGAAACAATCAACAGAGCAAAGAGTCAGTCTATTGAATGGGTGAAAATATTTGTAGACCGTTCATCTGACAAAAAATTAATATCCAGAATGCATAAGGAACTCAAACAACTCAACCACAAAGCACAGATAATCCAATCTTTAAATGGGCAAATGACTTCTTGAGACAGTTCTCAAAAGAAGATATACAAGAGACCAACAAATACTTGAAAAAAATCCAATATTGCTAATCATCGGGATAACGTAAATCAAATCAGTGTGGCATCATCTCACCTCAGTTGGAATAGCTGCCACAAAAAAACAGCAAATAGAGTGAAGGTGGAGTAAGTGGAATTCTCATACACTGTTGGTCAAATGTAAATTAGTATAGCCATTATGAAAAACAGCATGGAGTTTCCTCAAAAAAAATTCGAACTAGAACTGCCATATGATCCAGCCATCCCACCACTGAGTATATGTCCAAGGGAAATTAAATCAGTATGTTGAGGTGACATCTGCTGTCACACGTTACTGCAGCACCATTTACAATACCCAAGATATGGAATCAACGTAGGTGTCCATTGATGGGTGAGTGGATAAAGAAAATATGGTGTAGCTGTACAATGATTATTCTTTATTCACCATAAAGAAGAATGAAATTCTGTCATTTGCAGCAACATAGATGGAGCTAAGGGCCACTATGTTAAGTGAAAAAAGTCAGGCACAGAAAGACAAAAATACCACATGTTCTCACCTATATGTGGATCTGCCCAGGTGCCAGAGACTCACGGTTATAATCCTAGCTACTCAGAAGACAGAGAGATCAGGAGCATGGAAGTTCAAAGCCAGCCCAGGCAAATAGTTTGCAAGACCCTACCTCAAAAATACCCAACACAAAAAGGGCTGGTGGAGTGGCTCAAGTAGTAGAGACCCTGTCTAGCAAGTGTGAGGCACTGAATTCACACACAGTTTCAACCCCTGCCAAAAAAAGAAGTTGATCTCATAGAATAGTAGTTACAGAAGCTAGAGAGCTTCGAGGGCAATGGAAATAGACTGGTTCACAGGTATGGGGGGTGGTAAATACCTGTTCACAAGTAGTAGGCATGAGGATATGAGCTGTGACATTATTTATAATGCAGAAATAGTGGAAACGACCTTAATGTTTATCAACAAAGAAATGATTTTTCTATTTTTTTTTGGTGGTAGTGGGGTTTGTACTCAGGGCCTCACGCTTGCTGGGCAGGCATTCTACCACTTGAGTCATTCTTCCAGCCCAAAAGAATAATTTTTATTGGTACAGCCTGATTAGAATAGTCTGCAGCAGTTATAAAGAGTTGATGAAGCCTATATGTATTAAAATGAGCATATTTCCAAGGTATGTTACATGAATGTCTGCCATTCTCTTCCCACAATGGGACTCAGGACGTATGATAGAAAATAAGAAGGAAAAAGGTACATAGAAAGGAAAATACAAATAATCATTTATCAGCTATCAAATTTTTGTTTTAAATTGTTTCCCTATCTCAGTTTATAACAATGCCCTTCTCCCATGGAATTATACACAGATAAACTCATTTTGTCTTCCCACCCTACCTGTGAATAGCCTTTCTTTTGAGCGATTGACCAAAAGAGGTTAAGTGCTTTGCTCAAGGTTATACAGCTAGGACAAAACTTGGCTGTAAGTCGAGTGCTCTTTGCACAATGCATGAAGCGGTACAGCCTAGTGGTTAAGACCAGTCTGAAGTCAGATTGTGGAGGGGTCTAGATCTAGTTCCACTACTGACATATGATTTCAGATACTTTCTTATCGTCTCATCTCCGAACTGGAGATTGCAAAAACGACAAGTTCCTCCTAGGATCATGGTGAGGATTAAAACAAGCTATTACACATAAAGTGCTTACCACATCTGCCAATAGCAGTTGCTCAATAGATGTTCATAATAATTTGTCATCATGCATGTGACCATCTGCCTACACAGATTACAAGCAACCCACTGCCTCACAAGTACCTACAGTTATCTGTTCAACAGCCCAGGGGATCCTAGAGGTAGCCAACTCTCTCAAATCAGCTTCTCAGCTAAAAGAGGTGCTGGCACCTTCCGTACTGTCTGCTGTGTATCATTTTCCCCATCAAAAGAATTCCTGTCTTGTAAAACCATTTTTCCCCATCAAAACAATTCCAGTCTTATAAATTGTAGAGAAAGGACATGTTCCCCTCGTAAACAACATAGACTCATGTATTTATTCGTGTCTCTGGTGACTCATCAACAATGTATTGAGTGCTTATTCTGTGTCAAGCCACATAGAACACCCTGAAACAGGAGGATAAAGGCACATTTTGGTCATCTCAATGACTGGTGGGAAAGGACACTATTTGTACATGTACCAAATGTCCTGCGATGAATACCACAGTCTCCTACAAAAGTAACTGCTCCATCCAAAATATCAGTATCACTCTCTGAGAAATACTGGAATTGCTAAAGGAAAAAAATTAATGATGGCAACATTGCACCTGGCTTGTCTTTGAAGAAACTAAAGAAGTAGGGTACTTGATTATTTTTAAATTTAATACTTTTTTTTTTTTTTGGTGATTCTGGGGTTTGAACTCAAGGCCTCATGTTTACTAGGCAAGTGCTTACCACTTGAGAATTTAATTCTGACCTTGCTCATTTCTCCCTTCAACTAGACTGCAGGGGCTTCCTGCTGAGTTTAAGGAGAATCAGGAGGCAGTGCAGAGACCACACTGCAGATGGGAGTATCCATCCTCTGCAGGAATTCAGGATTGCCCTGCAGAGAGTTCTACCATTGGGTTTCCAATTTTGCTTCACTTAGACATATGCAGAAGAGTTGCCCTAATGCTCTTGTTTCTTGTTTTACAGCATAAAAGTCAATGATTTGTCATTTCCGAATACTTCATTAGCCTTTGTGGCTGGCGAGGGAATCAAAGCCTTGACCAACCATGGCACTGTCAACATCAGCACCCACTGGGAAATCGGATCTCCACTTTTGTGAGTATTCCACTGAATGTTTCTTGCTACTCTGGGGTGAAATGGAGCAAAAAATGGAACAGTGTATAAGTTAATCACTGTTTTCATTGTCAGAGCCAGGTGCTAGTGGCTCACACCTGTAATCCTAGCTACTCCAGAGGCAGAGATCAGGAGGACCATAGTTCAAAGCCAGCCTGGGCAAATAGTTCACGAGACCCTATCTCGAAAATACCTATCACAAAAAGGGTTGGTGGAGTGGCTCAAGGTGAAGGCCCTGAGTTCAAGCCCCAGTACCACCAAAAAAAAAACAAAAAAATCACCACTGTTTTCATTGTCAGACTTCTTTCTCTCAGTATTAATAATCATTTTCAAGAGCATGTTTCCAGGTGAGATTCAAATCAGGATATCCCTGCATCTCTCTGTTAACAGTAGAGCAACTGGTCAAATGTCACTTAAGACTTCCTAGAATTAGAGGTCCCTGACTGTGGGAGAAACAGTCATGTGCTCAACATTTCAGGTCCACCAACACATCACTGAATGAACTTGATTGAGCCAGCTGTCAAATGCACTTCCCATCAACAGGGACAACTGATGGGAGATGGAGCTTCCTACCTCACATGGAGGTTGGAAGATGGCAGTCAGCTTGAGCCCACTCTCCCTTAAATAGAAGGAAGGGGTCAAAATCAAGATATGCCTACAAACCACTTGCTTTGTGAAAGTCACTGTCTTAAGTGTAATGGTTAGCTATGCCTTGATTGTTGCCCCAATCAAGATAACACATTCATTCATTCACTGGGTCATTCTACAACCATTTAGTGAGTACCTACTGTATACCATGTTTCCAATCAAAAGAATTCCAGTCTTGTAAATTATAGAGAAAGGACATGTTTCTCACAATCAACATAAATTCATGTATTTAGTCATTTCTTTGATGACTTGTCAACCATGTTTTGAGTACTTATTCTGTGTCATGCCACCTGTTAAGCCCTGGGGACATGGAGATGAATAACATGCAACCCACTACCTAAAGGCGTTTACAGACTCTAAGTACCCTTCCCATCTATGCTCCTACAAAATAAGGTGTTGTCAACTTTGCCCTCTCTCCAAACACTGTATATCAATGGTGCTCAACACATGCTCAACCACTACCAGAACCAGAGCACTCAAGAAAAATAAATACAACATCCCAAAGCTGTGCATTATTATATCCACTATTCATTTGTTCAGTAAATATTCCTTCAGTATCTACTCTGCTCCTACCTCTTATAGGTGCCATGAATCCAGAGGCAAGCATGACAGGAGCCTTACTCTCCAGGAGCTTAGAGTCTCTGGTTGGTGACATCAACAAGATCCATTCTCATGCTTGACTTGACCTGAGTAACCTTATCCTTTTTCTCTGCACAGCCAAGATATAGGAGAAGCTGATCTGTTTCTCTCTGGAGTTTACTTTACTGGCATCATTCTCCTGACCCGAAATGACTTTGGTCACCCAGCCCTTAAGCTCCAAGACTGCCATGCCCAAGTGAGCCATGCCCACGTCTCATTTTCTGGAGGACTCAGGTGAGTGACAGCACCATAGTGGTGCTGGCTAGTCTGGGGCTGGATTCTTTTTTTTTTTTTTTTGGCAGTACTGGGGGTTGAACTCAGGGCCTTGTGCTTGCAAGGCAGGTGGTAGCAAGCCCTTGAGCCACTACCCATCCCTTTTTGCATTGGTTATTTTTCAGATAGGGTCTCTTTTTATGTCCAAGCTAGCCTGGACTCTGATCCACCTATTTTTGCTTCCCCAGGTAGCTAGGATGGCAGGTGTGCATCACCGTGCCCAGTCATTGATTGAGACGGGGGGGGGGGTTCTTACTGATTTTTTGTCGAGGCTGGCCTTGAACCAAGAGCCTGCTGATCTCTGCCTCCCAAACAGCTAGAATTACAGGCACGAGCCACTGCTCCTGGCCTGGGACTAAATTCTTGATCTGCACCCAGAAGTTTAACACTGGCAGATTGTGGTCTTTAAGTAAGCTCTTTTTTTTTTCTTTTGTTTTTCTTAGTGTCCTATATAACTCCTTTGCTGAGCCCATGGAGAAACCCATTTTAAGGAACATAAATGAAATGGTAAGTCATAAGAGGTTAGACAGCCTAATAAAACAGTATCAGCAGCAGGTCTACCATCATGTATTCCTAATCAGCAAAATTTGATTAAGCACCTACTGTATGCTAGGCACCATCCAATGCTTTCATGCACAGTATTCTTTTTCTACTTAATAACAATGTCTCAAGTGCGTACTACATGCCAACATTGTGGCAGGTGCTGAGGATACAGAGATGCATAAAACTACATTCCTCCCCACCACCGCCGCTCAAGGTTCTCACCATAAGAGCAGCAAGCAACCAACAAGAATTGATTTCTTATGTACCTATTGTATGCCCAGCACTGGACTGGAGTGTGTTGGGAACAGGAGAAACAACCTTGTCTATGTAGAAAACCCAAACTCAGGCTTGTGAAACAATAACTGAATAAGATCTTGAATGTAATACATTACATGATGATTATATTGAACTGCAGGGATTCAGAGAAATGGAAACTTTAAAGCAATAGAGACTGGAAGTGTCCTGGGAGATATATTCTAGAGGATGCAGAACTTAATCTGGGCCTTGAAGCATGGGTGAGGATTGGATAAATAAAGAATGGAGACAAGCCAACACATTTCCAAGAACTGCATTAAGAATAAATTAAGAAGAGTATGCTGAGATACCTTCCAAGGCCATCTGTATGTTTATTCTAGAAGTCAGCATTTGAAGAAGGGAAAGATGGAGTTGGCCTTGAACTCTCTTTTCATTCCTGACCATACCTTCCCTAACCCTTTCTTCATATTTTGGGGAGACAAGGATAGGCACGGAGAGAAGAGGAAAAGAAGGGCAAGGATGGGGTCTGGCTCTCTCATCTCCCCAGTGCTCACATCTGTGCTTGGTAAACAGTAGGTGCTTAGAAAAAGTCAGTGAAGAAATCGGCACTCTAAAACATGAAGCCGCTTGCCCAAGGAGACTGCAGAGCTGGTCAGGGGATTCAAGCTTCATAGGCTTTCTCCATCCCTCTCTGACAGCTGCTGATTTCCAGTGAGTGTGCACCTTGAAGAGTGACTGGGAAATCGTGCTGTCACCTTCACACTTGATCATTCCTCTGTTAACAAATGGAGTGTGGTCTTTTGACCTCAGACAGGAGGTCAATGAAGAATGAATTATGTCACAGCAGCCAACCATTGAGTTTTCCTAGAGTTCATACATGGCTTAGAGTTAATAGATGCTCCCTGGGCCACTGGAAAACAGAAATGAATGTTCAGACCACTCTGTCTAGTTATGCAAGAGCAGACTTCAAATCCTAGGTGTGTAACCCCTAGCAACTCATTTAACCTCTCTAAGCTTTGGTTTTTCCTATATATAAATAGAAGACAGTAGCGCCTACCTCTCAAGGCTCAGTGGGGATGAAATGGAGTTAAGGGAGCAACAGCTAACACTGAATGCTGACTATGGGCTGGGCGATGTTATATACATTACTTCAATTTCTACTCACAGCTTGATGAGGTAGATAGAATGTTCGCCCCCAATTTGCAGAAGAGGAAATGGGTCAGAGAGTACAAGTAACTTGCAAAAGTGCCGGTCTGCTGGCCTCTGCTATAATCATGACACTGAGCACATCAAGGAGCACACAGCAGGCACATCAGTGTTGGTACTCATCCCCTTCCATCAGTGTTGGTACTCATCCCCTTCCTAAAGGTATGCCTTCATCCAATTCAAAAAGGGGGAAACAATTTGATTCCCAAGTAGATCTCAGATCTCCTGGGCTCTCCAACTAGCATAGGGGAAAGTAAGAGGTCCAGTTCTAACGACCCCAGGCAGGGTATGGAGCTGTGGATAGAGGCAATGGGAGGCAGGTGGCACCCTCAGCAATCAGGAAAGACACATTTGGTCTAGTAACAGGTTCCTCAGGTGTGACAGCAACAAGGCACACATGTTCTAACATGCCACAGAGAGAAAAGTCAAGGGCTTGCTCTGCTATGGGGCCAAGTGGGTGTGGTCCCATATGAAGCTTATCCGACATTCAATGACATGTTGCCCATATATACAAGGCTCTAGCACTGTGATCATCAACTAATTTAAGGGAAAGTCATCATGACCAAAGGGATAATGTCTCCTAACGAGAAGGCTTGGTTTCAATGTAGTAACATGCTTTTTTTATTATTCATTTTGTGGACAGCTGTGTCCTATTATCTCAAATGAGGTGGAAGCACTCAATATCAACCTCACTGCACTGGAGGGTGAGTCGTAAAACTGTGTCTTCTGGGTGATTCTCTTCCCACCATCAAACCCTGCTGTCCCACCCTTGGTTTGCTTTTCAGGGCATTAGAGTCCCCACTCCTCACTCTGCCTTCCTTCTGCCTTGTAAATTAAAGTCCCAGGACTTCACGTGGGAGGACATGCCCCGGGCAAAGGGCAAGTGCTTGATGGCTACTAACCAACTTCATAACCACCGGGGGGCTAGCTCCAGAGAACCAGAGCCAGGCCAGGGAGTTAAAACCTCACCAGCTCTAATACCAGCTTTGGCTCTAAATCAATACATCTTATAACCTTGACCAAGTTATTCCCCTGCCCTGACCCCTTCAGTGCTGCCTGCAGCATCAAGTCCACACACCCTCATCTGCACTATAAGACCAGCTGTACTCTGACTCTACTTACTCTCTCTGCTTCATCTTGCACCTTTCTCTGCTTCAGTGGTCAAATGGCTTCTACTGACTCCCCACTCCTTGACTTCCCTCAAGCTGTCCACAGCCTGAAGAGCGTCCTTCCCTTCATGCATTTATTCCATTAATACATATTTATTGAGTGCCTATTTCTATACCAGTACTCTGTTAATCCCCACAGGTTACAATTCCTTCCACTCTATCCCTCAACCTTTCCCTTGTCCTCTTTATCCTAAAGACTCAGCTCAGCCATGGTGTCTTCTAAGAAATCTTATCTGACAGCCCACACACCACAAAGTGACACCTTCTCTATGACTGCTTCATACTTTATACCTCTCTTTCTTTGTATTCCATCCATTGGTTCACAGATGGTGTCCTGAGAACCTGAAATTGGCTGGGTGCTGATCTTGGTTCTAAGAGTCTAGGAGACAGAACTCCCGCCCTCATGGGACCAGTGGGAGGAATCAGAAAGCAAGCCAGACAAACAAGTAAAATCTATGATATGGACATGATAAGCATAAGAAGAAAAATAAAGTAGGGGAAGAGGTAGGGAGGGACTTCCATTTTAGATAGTGTCACCAGGAAAGGCACAGCTGAGCAGGTAACATTACAGGTAGAACCTGAAGGGAGTAGCGACTGAGCCGCTCCCAGATCTAAGTGGCCCCAGTCTTTTTCCTGCTGCTATAGCAGAGTGTCACAGACCGGGTTGATTATAAGCAATAGACGTTTATTCATCTCACAGTTCTAGAGACTGGGAAGTCCAAAAGTGAGAAGCTGCATCTAGTGAGGACCCCTGAGCTGAGTCATAACATGGGGGAAGGGCAGGTAAGTGCACATGAGACAGAGGGCAGTACCCCATGAGCTAATCACCTCATAGAGGCCCCCACCTTCCAATATCATTACATTAGCAGTCAAATTTCAGCATGAGTTTTGGAGGGACCTTCAAGCCATAGCATTCATGAAAGACAGTCCAGACAGAGGAAACCACATGCTCAAAGCTCCTGAAACAGGAGTATACCAAGACTGTTGGAGGAATTAGAAGGAGGTTGTACTAGGAGCAGAGGAAGTGTGGGGGACTGAGGAGTAAAGAGATGAGGTCAGAAATGGGGAAGGGGCTGGTTGGATTTTCTGGGCTCTAAGGGCCCTGCAAAGTGGGCCTCTTAGTCTGAGATGGGAGGTCTCTAGAGAGTTCTGAGCAATGCTTGCATAAGGGCAATCACTCTGGCTTCTGAGCTAGTAGTAGACAGGAAAGAGAGGGGACAGGGTGGAAGCAGAGAGACCCCTTAAGAGGCAATCACGGTGACCCACATGTGCAGTGATAGCAGCTGGCCTGTGGCGGAGTGACAAAGATGAGAAGATATGTGCAGATTCTGGATATACCTTGACCTCACTCACCTCACCAGTAAAAAGATTCCTGTCCTGCTTCCCACACAGAATGGGGACAGGTCCATTCAGATGGGGAGCTTGAGCCCATTTTAAGAACTATAGTGACATAGGATAGTATTGTGCCCCTACCTTGGCAGTCACCTCATCTCTTCTTGTTTCTCACCTTCATCTATGAAATAAACCAAATACAATATGCAAGAAGAGAAGAGGTGACACTAGTCTTCAAACTGCAGAACATGGGATGGTGGCTGGGAAAGCAGCTCTTCCAAAGCCAAGTCAGAAACCCGAGAGCTGCCTCACTGTGCCTCACAGGTCTCAGACACTGAAGTCTTTCTTTCCCAGATCTCTACCTACCATTGTCATCTGGTCCCTTCTCATTTATTCTGAAAATGCTAATACAAAAAAATTCATTGAATTAATATCATTGCACATCAGAATTTCCTTGGTCTCTCTAACTTGGTGAATCTCATTCTCTATCACATAGTATGTCTTTTTTTAAGTATTTACAGTTACAATAGTAATGCATACCCATTTAAAAACATGTTTTAACTACATAGAAATCTATAACATTGAATATGAACCTTAAACATTGTTTTGGTTTAATACTGGTAAGTGCCCTTGTGCTAATTTCCTTTTTAAAAAGAATTACATATGCATTGTGTGTTCACACACATGGACATACCTCCAAGTACATGCCTAAAAAGGTGTGTACCAAAATTTCTCAGGGTAACATGATTTTTGCTTTTATCTTTTGACTCAGCTGCTTTTCCTGAGTTTTCAAAAGTATCCACCTATTACTTATGAGTTGGGGGAGCATGGTATTATATACATAGAATTAAAATTATTTTCTGGACATTGTGCTAATGAATATAATTTTTTCTTTGTTGATCATTTAGTTTTAACCAAGATTGACAACTATACTCTCCTGGATTGTTCCCTAATCAGTTCTCCAGAAATTACTGAGCACTGTCTTGACCTGAATTTGAAGGTAACTTTTTCACTCTTAGAAGCCTCATCTGACCGTCAACAGCCACGATTATGTGCCAAAGCAAATATTTATACAAGCTCTTCAAACAATTTACTTTTCTTTCAAGAAACTCCCTCAAGTTCTTGCCTTTTCAAAAGAATCTTCCTCCATTTCTTCACGGGCAAAGGATTGTTTGCGTTGCACATCTGCCTTCTTCATGAGAAGTACTGGGACGGTTTTCCCTCGGGGAATAGATTTGAGGCCGGTTCGAGCCTGCAAGTACAGTGGCCTGCATTTATTCGAATGTAACATATCAGTAGATTGCACATTTTAGTACCTCCATACCTCACTCTCCAGTTAGTGTATTTAATTGAGGGCTGCTGACTTCTGCAGGGTCATGACACCTGACATGACATGGAAATGGTGTTCACTAACCCTGGAAAAACAGACATTGTGCTTCTGCTCAGTTTAACCTCAAGATTAATATGACCTAATCACCTCATAAAGGACATGCCTTTTAAAAGGCATATTGAGCTGGGCGCCAGTGGCTCAGGCCTGTAATCCTAACTATTTAAGAGGCAGAGATCAGGAGGATCACAGTTCAAAGCCAGACTGAGCAAATAGTTTGAGAGACCCTATCTCAAACACCTCAGCACAAAAAAAGGCTGGTGAAGTGGCTCAAGGGGTAGGCCCTGAGTTCAAATCCTGATACAGCAAAAAAAAAAAGTAAAAGGCATATTGACTTATATTTTGCTCATCCAGATTCTTTGAAATCAGCTCAATATTGTCAAGACCAATAGCTAATGAGAGCAGCACTAGGAACGCCTTGAAAGTCTTTAAGCCGTTGAGTCCTGGGCTCTTCTGAGTGTTTCTGTGACTCTCCAGTATTCAGCTGTCATATACTTTGAAGGTCAAGAGTTTGACACTCTAATGGTACCTCAGGAACTAGCCATCCATCCTTTATCTGAGAAAGGTACCAGCTAGTTGCTTCTGGATGAGTTACCTTGCAGGGTGGCCAGACACAAGGATATGCTCAAATCATCAAAGTTACTGGTCAAGGAGCCAGAGTGTATGAGAGGGCCCACCTTCTTCATTTTGCACATTTGCGTTCTCACCTGACAACCGACCTTTCTCTCTTCTTTCCTACAGGGCGCATTCTACCCCCTGGAAAACCTCACTGATCCCCCCTTCTCACCAGTTCCTTTTGTGCTCCCAGCACTTAGGGACTCCATGCTCTACATCGGAATCTCTGAGTATTTCTTCAGATCAGCCTCCTTTGCTCATTTCACGGCTGGGGCTTTCAGTGTCACACTCTCCACCAAGGAGGTAAGCAGAGTTTCCAGATGGTGACAGTGGCACCATTGTTTAACCTTTTATAAGTATTTCATGATGGGATGTCTTAGCTTTGATTCCTGGTCCTTCATTGTTCTAGTAGGACAATGAAGGAGGGAGTTAAAAAATGACTGTTGTCATCAATTAGGGAGTTGTTGGATTTCCAGTTCCTCTAACTTCAGTTTTTTCCATACTATCTGACCACTGTTCCAGATTGTTCTTAACTAATGCCAAGACTCCCATCCACCATATATCACCTGAGAGCTTGGCCATTTCAGCTTGGCACTTCTATGTGCCAGAGTTTCCTCATTTGGAAAAGGGGAATAATGAGACTTCTACAGTCTCAAAGTTCTTATGGGCATTAAAAGGTTTAAATACACATAAAGCATCCAGAACAGTTATAACTGCTATGACAATTGCTTGTCATCATCACTGTTATTGATCCCTGTGTCATGCCACATAAGGATTTCTCCTAATTACAAATGATTTATTATCTATAGTCATAAGGACTAGTGCTCATTAATTAATACTCATTAATTCTCTTTGCATTTTTATAATGAGATCATTCCCTCCAGCAGTTCAACCAAAAGTGTTATTGAGCATCCTTTTTAAATCTGCTGCTTCTATACGTCCTAACCATACAAGTTGTTGTAAATCTTATGTTCAAGGTGGTAAGTGTGACAGTACCGCCTATTTCACAGGCCAAGCATTAACCACCTCTAGCTTTAGACTTGAAGACATTCACCTGTGAAGGTAAACTACTTAAGCGTGCTGGGTCCAGTTCTCTCTGAAAATGATAAAAAAAAAAAACCACAAGACTTATTATCAATGCCTGTAGATTGTTTACACACGGACTGTACGTAGACGACATGTACAGTGTTCCCAAGGCTAAAAGGTACTTTCTCAAAAGGTACTTTCTTTGTGATCTTGGGTCAGTTACTTTACTTCTCTGGGCCTCAGATTCCCTGTGGTTGGGCTATAAAATGGTAAGTTGCTTAAACATTTTATGGTGCAACCGCCTCGGAATTCATAAAATTATAGGGACTACTACATTTTCCCTGAAAAGATAATTCAGGTAAAAACCTTACACTGATGTGATGGTATTTACATTTCAGATTTCCCACCAATTTGTTCAAAACTCTCAAGGTCTTGGCAATGTGCTCTCCCGGGTGAGTGTTCTGGGTTTGACCTATGTCCATTGCTGTTACTTCTGGGACACTTGTGGGTTATTTATATTCCTTTTGGTCCAAGCAAAAGTCCATCTTTCCACTCTTAATAGAGTTTTTTTTCTTGATCAATATCCATATATACTTCCTAAGCAGTACATGTTAAAGTATAAAGTACAAATTAAAATAAAATTAAAGGTAGTGTAAGTCCATAAAATAAATCACCCTTTTCATGAGGTTCCACCACATTTAAAATAATTAGTTTAAATAAAGGATTTTTTTAGTTTAAATGAAGAATTTAATCCTTACATAGCATTATTAAAGCAATTAATATCACACCTTCTTAGCATACCAAGTATCAGCCATAATGGACCCAGGTTCAGGTTTGCCTTAGGGGACAAAGATGTTTTAAAGACAGGAGCTCAAGTCAGACAGACCTAGAGGTGAATTTTGGTTCTAGAGCTTATTCTCCTGGAATCCTGAGAAATTCACCTAGCCCCTCTATGGCTCACATGCTCCGTTATAAAGCAGGGATACTGATGGGACTGGTCTCGGGATTCTGTGAAGATCAGATGAGAGAATACATAAAGACCCTAGCATGGTAGCTGACACACAGTGTGTATGCAGTAAATGTCAGCTGTTAGGATTTGAGGAGAGTTGTGTTGTGTTGTTGCTATTACTATTGAAGAGCTTTTTCCAGTTCTCACTGTGTGGTGCAAGATTTGATGAACACAGGCCACCCTAAATTTGTGATTTCCCCTTATGAACTCATGGCTCTTCATCTCTATTTCTTTCTCTACACGGGGCAGATCGCAGAGATATACATCTTGTCCCAGCCATTCATACTGAAGATCATGGCCACAGAGCCTCCCGTGATCAACTTACAGCCAGGCAACTTCACCCTGGACATCCCTGCCTCCATTATCATGCTTACCCAGCCCGAGAACTCAACTATGCAACACATCGTCTCCATGGACTTCGTAAGTCTGGAGAGACAGGAGGGCACCTTGCGATGCCACTCCTGTTAACCAGTAACTTCGAAGTGTTTGGAGTGGAGGGGGCTCCCCAATTAGGAGTGAAGATAGAGTAGAGAAGGGAGTGTGGCTGAACCAAGCCCGTTTTGCCCGCTATGCAGTATACCAATTACTGAGATGATGAATTTTGCAAAAGAGAATGAGTTTATTCATGAGCAGCCACAGGAGGAGATGGGAGAACAAGTCTCTAGCCTGCCTCCCCATAAAGAGGGTTTGGGATTATTTATGGGCAGAGGCATGGGGAAAGCTGATTGGCTCAAACTTTACTAATTTTTACCATCATGCCTCACCTACCAGAGGTATTATCCATTGGCAACTAAAGCAAGTAACTAAGAGCAGATGAAATTAGTCTTAACTGAGGGTGGGTGAAGTCTAGAGGGGTTTATTCAGGAAGATGGTTGGTCCAAGTTTCCCTTGGTTTTACAGTTCATCTCTCCATGCACTATAAAAAACTCTCCTTACTCTCTACTTCCCATGTGCCTGTCCCACTACTTCAGTTACATGGATAGCTGTAACTGAAGCTGTCCTTGAAATAAAGCAATCAGGGTAGAACTCGTTTACTTGATGAAGTCCTAAATGTAGTCTGACAGAAGAAAAGTAAAATCACATACACACCAACACGTACATACAGAAGAAAGATTGGAAGGAAAGAAAATATTAATTTAAATAAGATCTTCAAGTAGTAAGTCTTTGCATCTATTCTTCCTATCCACAAGAGCTATTTCTGGCCAACATCTTTTTCACTATGAGGGAAATAGAGCTTATGATGTTTTCACTACGAGAAATCGTATCTGTGGTCCCAATGGGCAGTCACTCATCTTAGTAACAAGTGCTTTTGATGTCTGCAGGTTGCTAGTACCAGTGTTGGCTTGGCTATTTTGGGACAAAGACTGATCTGTTCCTTGTCTCTGAACAGGTAAGATCAATTGATTTAACTGTTGGAAACTTTGGTAACAAGCAAGTCAACAAACCCTAGAGACCAAGTAACCATTAAGGGAGCAAGTGAAGAGTGTGAACATGAATGAGCCAGTTAAGCACTTTGTTTGTAATGAACCAGGTCATTTCAAAGTATGCACTTATCTAAGAATTGTGTTATAAAATTTTGAATTTGTTTTATCCTATTACAGGATGATCAGGTCCCATTACTAGGATTTAGACTTTAACAGGATCTTGGGCTATGGCCAAGTTGGCTTTCAAAAGCAGGTGATACAGTGTGAGAGGGCACAAATAGGTCATACACATAGGTCATTGAACTCTGATTTCCATTTGGAAGACCCATCCTAAAAGTCTGTTTTCCTCAGAGATATAATGCTGACAGTTGAAGTCATAAGTCAAACTATGTGGGGGAGAATTTACAGAAAGATCATGGTCCCAACTAAACTCATGGAAGGAAAAAAGAAAGAAAGCAATAAAGTAGACTGAAAGCAGAGTCAGAAAATAATTGGGAAACCAATAGAGGGAAAGTGAGTCCGTCTTCATAAGTCAACTAAGTAGTTATGAAAACTGTTGTAGAAACATGGAACATGTCTGGGAATGGTGATGCATGCCTATAATCCTAGCACTTGGGAGGTAGAAGCAGAAAGATCACAAGTTCATGGCCAGCCTGGGCAACATAGCAAGTTCAAAAATCAGCCTGAGCTGTATAGCAATAGCCCCAGCTGGGGATGTAGCTCAGTGCATGTGCAAGGCCATGTGTTCTAATCCCTAGTACCATGAAAGAAAGAAGAAATGAAGAAAAGGGAAGGAAGGAAGGGAGAAAGATGGAAAATGTTTTCAATAAAATCACATTCAATTGAAAAAACAGACTACAACTACATAAACAATTGTATAAAATAGCTTCACAACTGAACAAGAAAGTGAAAAGAATCAAGCTATAGGATTATAAGATTGTTTCTTTTTCATAAAAATATTCTTTGTAACTATACTTTTTCCAATAAAAAGAATACAATAAAAGTACTTGTAGTATGATTTCCCAGAGAGAAAGGCTCCCAGGAGGTTTTACTCAAATTTATCTACCCTGAAAGCAGAGCTGACTTCTTCAAGGGGCTCAGCAGACACAGCACCTGAAGCCAGCCATGATTTAAGGACCCATGAAAATGTTTTCATATATTTTAAAATAAGAATTTAAAAAAGTACCAACCCAGGGCATGCACAGTGGTGCATATCTGCAATCCCAGCTACTAGGGAGGTGGAGACGGGAAGATCATGGTTCCAGGCCAGGCCAGGCATAAAGACTGGTTTGGTGGCACATGCTTGTGATCCCAGCTATTTGGCAAGCAGAAGTAGAAGGATCCCACCCAAGGGCAGCCCAGGCAAAAGCTCAAGACCCTGTCTGGAAAACAAGCAAAAGTCAAAAGGACTATGGGTGGTGTGGTTCAAGTGGTAGATTGCCTAGCAAGCATGAGGTCCTGAGTTCAAACCCCACTACTGCCATAAAAAAGGGGAAAAAATAATACAATCTAAATTTGATTATATTTATTTTCTATGAACATGATTGTGAAATAGAATTTCAAAAAGAATTAAGGAAACAGCACACCTCCTGAGGCAAAAGTGCCTCAGGTGCTCAAAGGTCGTAAGGTGCCTGTGTCTATAGGAGACCAGGCTGATGAAACTGAAGCCATGATGGGTGCCCTTCCATGTGGCAGTTCTAATAGGTGGGAAGATGGAAAGCAGAAGGACAAGGAGGGAAAGGCTCAGAGTGAGAACTTGGCAGCATCAGAGGTGGGCTAGAGGAAAGGGGGGGAGAGAATAAGACTAGATATTCCTAAGCCTTGAGCTATGAGTACAGGTGAGTCCTCAGTCTATGGAAGACAGAGGGGAAAGGGCAGATAGGAGAAAGAGGCTGGAATCTGGAGGGGTGGAGAGAGGAGGGATGAGGCTATCCAGGCAAAGGTAGAAAGAAGCAAGGCCTATGTTTGAGCAGTTGTCTGTGTTGTTGGCAGGATCTGAAGGAAGGCTTTCATGAGAATGGGATTTTAGACTTGGGGCAAGCAGGTAGATAGACCTTCAGGAGCAGGGAGACCAGGTTCCTTCTCTCTTCAGTGAATCTAACCCTCTCTAACATTCCTACTAGAAGCAACAGGGCAATCAGTAGGTATTGTGATTATTTATGGGAGTAATTAGAAAAATACTGATTTTCATCCACTAAATTCACAAGAAATGTGTGAATTCATTCTCCAGCTTCCTACATTTCTCAACATGTTTTGACCTCATGAACATGAACTCTGAAATTAGGGTTCCTACTTTGCGGTCCATTCCCTAGGAGGGCTTCTTGAGATTCAAGACTTGGGAGGCTTCCCATTGCCCTGATGTCTTAGTGGGTTGAGTAGGGTTGGCTATATAATTTGGGGGGCCAACTGCAAAATGAAAATGTGGGACTCCCTGCTTCAAAAAATCATGAGAAATTTCTAGCTGGAGACTGTAAGGCATTCAATCAAGTCCTGGGTCCTTCTGAGATAAGGCCTGTCCCATTGTACAGGCTGCACTGAATTTGAGAATGGCTTCTGCAGTGGTGGTTGTAGCAGAATAGGCCTCATCAGGCCAAGGCAGCCAACCTGAGAGCAAGACTTTGCAAACTTGCTGAATTTGTGCTGAAAGGCAGCCTTGGCCTTAGGTAGAGGGAGCAGCAGCCCTGCCTCCCACATAGCTGCCCCAGCCGGCTCCTCCACTCCTGGACTCTCAATGCTACATTTCAGGATGAGCTAGTCTGGTCTTGGCTAATGTCAGAGGATGCAGCTAGAAAGAAGGAACGTGGGTGGGGATCAGTGGGACAATCTTGAGAAGAACCAGATAAGGCAAGGTCTCCAAATAATAGCATAGCACAGCCTTTCTAACCATCCTGTGCCTCAATATGTCTCTTCCTGGAGGCACTCAGGGCTGGCTGCATAGACATAAGTGAAGAATTCAGAGATTAACTCAAAAGGGGTGGCTTTAGACAGACAGTGAGATGACAAGCTTGGGTGTCAGTCTAGCTCTGTTCAGATTCTAGCCCTACCCTTTCTTAGCTGTGTAGTCTCAGGCAAGTTACTTGATCTCTCTGGATCTCCATTTTCTCCTCTACAAAATGATGCTGTGCTCTAATGCAGGCAGTTGTTGTTACAATGTGAGTTTATACATGTAAAATGCATGTTAAGTGCTGAAGAAATGTTGATTATAACTATTATTAGAATTTTCAGGCTAGCCTCAGCCAGAGTTAGCAAGGTCATTTTTTTCCCCCAGCAGTGCTTGGGATCAAATCCAGAGCCTCACAGGCTAGATTAGTGCTCTATCACCAGACTACACCTTCATTCCTTATAAGAGCATTTCAAGGGTGTCCCTATTCAGAAGACATGTCACTCCCCTGTCTCCTGGCTATGCGAGAAATACACAATTTGTGACTCCTCTTTATTACTGAGCCTTGCTTGTCTTCTGGGTCCTGTGCTCAGCACAACACCTATATTATTTAACTTAAATCTTACAACTCTGCATCCCCAAAACCTGACACAGTGCTCATATAAGTGGCTTTAAATTACATGAACAATCCTGGATGGAGGTGGGTGTTATTATCCCCTTTGATAGTGCATAGAGGTTAAACAATTAGCTCAAGGTCACAGAGCTATTGAATGGCCTAGCCAGAAGTTGGACCCATTTTCAAATTCATGAGTATTTAATTCTTATGTTATCCTGCCTTTGACATAGTGAAAAGGTAAGACGTAGAAAATAATACCTAGGAAATAAATATCCTGACTCAAAAGAGGAAACCCATGAATACAGAGTCATGCAAAATTGAAACAGGCAACAGGTCCCTTCTCAGTACTGAGTATTGAAAAAAGAGAAAGAAGAGATGCAACTGGGTGTCCTGAAATGGAAAAGGCCCTTAGCTCTTTTCTTATTGGAATCAAGAGGAGGAAAGGACAAAGAAGGTAAAAGCTAGAAATGTTAATATTGAACTTGCTCTCTTTGGGTATGTCTGCTTAGGAGCACAGCCTCTGGAATCAGGCATATCTGGATTTGGATTCTGCTTTGGTTACTTGCTGGCTGTGTGGCCTTGAGCAAATTACTTCACCTCTTTACATATCAGTTTCCTCATCAGCCAAACAGCACAGCTCTCCATCAGGCTGTTGTACCAGTAACATGAGATAATTCATGTAAAGCATTCAGCCCAACACCCAGCGCAGACACTGATTATGGTCATGGCACTTCATTCCCTTTTCCCATTCTAGGATCCAAGCTTGTCCACATAAGAGGGAGAAACTGATCCCCAGACACATGACAAATCAGGACGGTCTCAAAAAGCTATTGAGTTGCCCCTCAGAGTCATAAAGCAGGTTCTTATTGCTGTATCTGCAATGGAGTCTTGTATTCCAAACCCAATTCTGTTTGGAGGCACCTCCAGCTCAGGCTGGGTCACATAGGAGACACTTTGTAGAGTAATTCAGAGACCAAGTTCAATGACAGTTTTCCTTTTTTTGGTCTTCATCTAGATGACTTAAATCTAACCTTCTTAATCACATGCAAAACTCGAGGCACATTTTTTGACATTGCTATGATTGAAACTCTGGACATTCCCAAACTGTACCTCGCCCCACTACTATCACACACAATACACACACACACACACACACACACACACACACACACACACCCTACAACCTCTCCCAAGCAGCATAGTCAGAGAATGCCAAAACAGCTGGATAGCAGCAGATGGAATCACCGCCTAACTCCACTCCTTGAAATGTGAACAGGTAAATATTTGCCAACATGAGCCATCTGGACAGAAACCCAGGAAAAAAGGCATGTGCAGGCAACATGGGCTCACAGTTTCTATTGGAGTGCTTCTCTAGACAGGTCACTGGAGCTCAGACTGGGCATCTGGCTGACCCTTACCTGCACCCTTCCCCTGAGTCACTGTCAAAGCCAGGGCAGAAGAAATGCTATGGTGGGGTGGCCTCCATTAGCAGAGAAAACCTCAAATGGATCCTTCTCCCAGACTCAGGAGAATTTCAAGGCTGCAGAAGGCACTCAGGTTAAAACACAAGGGAACTCTAGCCTACTACAAGGGTACTTTAGTATCCTCAAAAGAACACCAAAAACCTTTCATTGCAGATTAAATCCACAGCCAGGGATTTTCAAGCTCTTCAACTTCCCCATTTGCCTGGCATGAACACTTTGCTTTCAACAGCCTCAACTTCAGCATGAACCACATTCTAGTACTCCCCCCATCTCCTTTTTCTGCTCACCTCTTTATGCATCCATCAATAAGAATTTATTGAGCAACCCTTGTGTGCCCTGCACTGTTCTAAACACAGACAGTAGAGAGGACAATAGTTCCTACATGCCAGGCCCACAAGCTGGGAAAGAAACTCAGATCGACAGGCAATTGCAAGACTAGGTGCTAAGGGACATGCTAGAGGTATACACAGAGCACCTCTCTCAAAAGGCAGCTTCTCTCCCCCACCCAAGACTTTTCCTCTAGCCACAAAGGAATGCTGGAGTCCACACTGCTTTGTATTGTCCTCTAATTGCTTCCTACATGGCTTCTCTGTATCCCTCATAATTATGAGCACAAATTAAATTCTTTACATTGCCTATCACATTACTGAGAATAGAATGAGCACTGGGAAAACCCTTAGCCTGCCAGTCTTTTTCTCCATGCTGCAGCCAGAGTGTGATTTACAAAACACAGCCCTCATCTCTCTTGTGAAAAACCTTCAGTGGATTCCTTGCTCTTCAAATCAAAATCAAAATCTCAGCATGATGAGACTTACCCAGCCTGGTCAACTCTGTCTGCCTTTCCAGTATCATCTTACTGTGCTCTCTGCCGCTCTCTTTTCCCTCCCTGGGGCCTTTGCAGCCTGTCCTAACCTCTTCCCTCTTTCTTCACTATTTTGCCTTTTGAATCCTACTTATCCTTCCTGTCTCAGTTTGACTATTCCTTCCTTGGGAACTTTCCCACATCTACCAAGTCAAGTCAAGTTCCCCTATCATTTGAGTCAATGAACTTGTTTCTTTCCTTCAGGACATTTATCTCAATTTGTAATTAAACCTTAATTGGTGGGATTCTTTGACTGTTGACTGCCCCCCACTAGGCAGTGAGCTTTTGTGAGAACAGTGGCTGTGACTGGTTTTGCTTACAGTCATGTCTCCAGCATCCATCCCAGTAGTGACATTGTGTTAGGTGTTCAAGAAATATCTTCTGGCCAGGTATAATGGCATGTACCCGAAAGGCAGCACTCAGGAGGCCAAGACAGGAGGACAGTGAGTTCAAGGCTAGTCTGGGCTACATAGAAAACTGTGTCTCAAAAAAAAGAAAAGAAATACCTTCTGGATGGTCAATTAATAAATCCACACTTAGTGCCTGAGTGAGCCAGATCTGCACCCGGTCCTGGGAATAGAGTTGTTAAGACTGGATCCCTTCCCTAAAGGAGTTTGTAGTCTAGGCAGATAGAAACAAAATTCCACAGGGTATTGAGTGGTGTCTTCCCTGGGCACAGGGTTGAAGGAGTAACACTGTTAATACCTGTGATATTTGACCTTGACTCATGCCCTTTGTTATTTTTGTCATTTTGACCAAGATCATGAATGATGTTTTGCTGTGCTTAAGAGTTTGCACTTTTGCTCTGGGTTGCTTTTCAATCCAAGCAATAAATCTTCTATAAAAAAATGTTTTAAATTGGCTGAGTGTGTGTATGTGTTGTTGTTGTTGCTAGAGATGGAACCTCATGCTTGCAAACAGGTGCTCTATCACTGAGCTACACCCCAGCCCAAGATAGACTATTATACATCTGCAAGGCAGGGCTATTTGAGCTCTCTTCTTTCCCAAGGACTCTGGTTCTGTAATAACAGGGCTTTACACAGTTAAGTTGGCCTGGTAGAAGATGAAGTCAAAGGACTGCAGTCAGGCGCCCCCTAGCGGGCTGAGGAGCAAGGAGACTTGGCTCTTTGTCCCATCTGTTTCTCTGCAGTTAGTAACAAGTCTACTAGTAAACAAATAGGTAAGAGTGCCTAGAGAACTAGGAAATAAATCTGGCCCCAGAAGAAAAGGATAGCCTGGGTCATGGGGAACCCCAAGCACAGTTACTCATAGCAGGAGGTCCTGAGGTGGCCAGGTGTGGCTTGGGTTTGTAAATGAGAGAAAACGAAGGAAACTCACAAGTGTGTTCCACCATTATGTAGGTTGAATTTGCAAACTAGATAACTAGGTTTGCCCATCCTAAGACAGTGTGGCCAGGGGAACGCATCCCCTCACGTTCCTCACAAGTACCTTCTATATGTCCTGCAGATTCTGGTCCTCCCTTCCCAATGCTAATGATATCATCTCTGATCCTTTGCCAGACTAGACTGTTTTTCTTGTTTTTATTATTAGTTATCAATTTGAAGCTATCTCCAAATCTAACTCATGGAAACATGACATTGGCAGATAATAAGCAAACATACCTCTTCTGTGAAAATCTGCTCTTCAAAAGTAGTCATAGAGACTGGATGCATGCATGGCTCAACTGGTAAAGCCCTTCCCCTGTAAGTGCAAAGCTCTGAATTCAAACTCAGTACCTCAGAAAACATAGTCATAGAAAGAGTCTTGGATGGGGTAACACTTGATTTAAGTCTTAGCAGAATAAAAGGAGAATTAATCAAAGAGAAAAGGAAAGACCAAAGACCAGAAAAAACGAACTTAGTGCATGAAGGCAGGAAGGTCAAAAGTGTCATGGAATCTTCAAGAAAATGACTTGCAGTTGCTTTAAGTTTGTCTTCAGCGCCTTCTAATGTTTGGAGACTCTGACCTAAAATATATTGCATATCTTCAAATGCAGTCTACATTAAGTGTAATTTCTGTCTAGCTATGAGCAGTGGTGTATTGCAATGACACATAATGTTACTTTTTGCAGACATAATTTTTTAGGAGTTTTTGGTATGTGTTTTGAAGCCAATACCTTTTTAACCTCAGGACTATAGTGCCTGATAAATAAAACAGCATAGCATGAAGCAGTTCAGAGTTAGGGAGGATAAAAGTCAGGGTAGAAAGTCAAGAGATGAGGCAGAAGAGGCAACCATGAGTGTACAGGAAGTCTCATATGCCATATAAAGTCCATATAATGGACTTTAACACAGCCCATTAAAAATTTTGATCAGAAGTGTTCTCACCAGACATGCCTGAATACATCTCACTTGGTGATGGTGTAGGAGATGGATTGGAGAGGATCAAGACTGAAGACAAGAGAAAGCCAGTTGAAGGTTGAAACAAGTGTAGCTCTAGACCTGGGCAAAAATGAGCCATTCAAAGCTAAGGGAGAAAGCAAGATGAGATAGTATCCTTTAATGAAAGGGGTGTCTAGGATGGGCATCAGGAAACCTGAGTTCCTGTCCCAAGTCTACCATTAACATTTCCCCTCTTTGGCCCTCAGTTTCCCCACCTGCAAAATCAGGAAGTCTTCCCTACTACTTACTATTTGTTCCTATTACCAGTACTATTGCATTGAAAACCAAGCCTATCTATTGGGAGGGCTACATATGGATCAGCCCTTAAGCAAAATTGGGAAGAAGGGAATGATGGCCTGTAGGTTTCTTATGAAAATCCCCATAAAATATAAACATCAGGTCATACTGCCATCCATTCTTACCTGGGATATGGCAAGGAGAGGGATCTCTGACCCCCTGGACCTACAGCCATTGTTCTCTTGGTATTTTACAAAGAATATCAAAGATGCTATGTGCTGGCCTTTGGCATTTCTACTCATAATAAAATCGACTCACATTTCTAGAATGGTAAGGACATGCTAGGCACAATTCTAAACATTTCATGTGCATTATCTCATTCAATTTTCATTATGGGTCAATAGGCACATATTATTCATATCCTTTTTTTATTTTATTCATATGTACATACAATGTTTGGGTCATTTCTCCCCCCTTCCCCCCCCCCTTAATACTCCACCCCCTCCCTCTCCCCCCTACCCCTCACTTCCAGGCAGAAACTATTTTGCCCTTATCTCTAATTTTGTTGAAGAGAGAGTATAAGCAGTAATAGGAAGGACCAAGGGTTTTTACTAGTTGAGATAAGGATAGCTATACAGGGAGTTGACTCTCATTGCTTTCCTGTACATGTGTGTCAGAGTAGAGAAAATTAGGCTCCAGAAAGATTAGGAAGTCTGCAGAGTTATAGGCAGAAATGGGGCTCAGACTCAGGTATTCCACTAACCATCATCCTATGCCGCTGTTCCCATCAGATAGCTTTCCTAGCTTGTGTTCCTTCGTGTGCTATGATTGAACAGCTTTAAAAATAGTGTGGGTGACACGGTCTTCAGAGAGGTGGCCCCTAGACTGAGGGGGACACCTCAGACCAGGGATTATTTCAGATGAGGGAACACCTAGACTGAGGTTCTCCAGCAAGTAGACTGGTATTACAATAAGGACTCAAGAGAGTTTTAAGGTTGAACTTAGAGCCAGGAGCCCTGAAAACTATTTCTTAACATTGTCCTGCAATGTTACAACTTGTCAACAGTAAGTCCCATATGTAGGCAAATGCACTTGGGAAGCCACACTGGAGGCAGATCCAAAGCTTCTGCTAGTTCCTGCTCTGCTTTGGGTTTTTTTTTTTTTGGGGGGGGGTTGTGTTTGTTTGCTTTTGTTTTTTTAGTTTTTTATGTTTGTTTCTTGTTGTTTTTAACATTACTGGGATTTGAACTCAGGGCCCCACACTTGCTAGGCAATTGCTCCACCCCTTGAGCCATGCCCGCAGCCCTCCTGCTCTGCTTCATAAGCAGCAAAATACAGGGGTAAAACATAAAATAGACATGATTACCTGCCAAGTTTGTGTGTGTTTTAAAAAAAAAAGTGAATTTTGAGCTAAAAGATTCACTTTCTTTTTTCATTTCGTATTGTTTTTAAATCTAGCCTCCTTTAACCTTTTCCCGTCTTCTTTCAGATTCCGCCTCTCTTTGCCAGAGTCTAATCGCAGTGATATTAAGGTAGGAGTCAGAGCTCTCAGGGTTCCTTGGCAAAGAAAGAATGAGAAACCTCCTATACAGAAGCATAGGTAGATTGGTTCCTGTGTGTCCGAGTCCTTGAGTGTTCCATGACTCTAGATTTTAGCTTTGAAATTCTCCATGTAGCTACTTGTGCAGCAAGCCCATTAACTCTCAAATGTGCTTTTATTTATGCAGAAAGGCTTTAAAAAGAATTTGAAAAGACTGAAGATATTGTGCAATGCTAGGTAAATAGATTCTCATGGAGCTTTTATTTTCTAGATCAAATAATCCTCGAGTTATACTTATTACAAAAGAAAGAGGCTATATGCAAATTAGCAGACATTGACTGGACTTGTTCTCCCTGCTTTCTACCTATCTCTTAACATTAGGTCAAGGCTGGGCACTATAGGTACCTTCGTGAGTGGGGGAGCCCAGCCTGGTGACCCCTGCTTGGGAGTGGACACCTGAGGAGCAACTTGGGAGTCCCCTTCCCCCAAACTTTAAGAACATCAGCCAAATCACTGCATGCTTTCATGGATAGCATTGTCATAGAGAAGCTAAGAGTGTGGGTTTTGCTACCAGAATTGCCTGGGTAAAGCTAAGCCAAGTTCATGCTCGGCCCTACATAAATATTAATTCTTAGAGTTATTCACTCATTTACAGACACTTATTGATCCTGGCTCTGTTGTAGGCAAAACAGAAGTTATCCACATTCATGGCACTTACATTCTAGGGCAGTGGTTTTCAACTCAGGTCCACTTAGCTAGCCCCTCGGGGACACCTGGCAATACCTGAAGCATTTTTGGTTGTTACAATCTGGGGTGGGAAGAGGATGCTGAGGGACAAAGGTCAGAGACACTGCCAAACATCCCACAGTGCACAAAAGAGCTCCCCACTGCAAAGAATTATCCATCCCAAAAGGTCAACAGTGCCGCAACTCAGAAACCCTGTTCTAGAATGTGTGAGAGAGTGCACATACGTGTGTGATCAGGTAAGGGTGCAGACAATAAGCAAATATACAATGTATGTACTGAGAAAAATTATAGAGAAAAAGCAATTAGAATAGACAGTGAGCGCAGGTGTGGAGCCGAGGATTAGAACCTCAGGGATGTTGAGAGGATTCACTGGAATTTTATAAGAATCTACTTAGCACACTGACTACCTGGTCAGAATTAAATAAAGATAGCCTTTGGTTTTATATTTATAATAATTATTTCAGTTACTGTCAAAGAATATTATAGCATAATAGTTTCATGAATAAACTCTGAGGTCAAATTGTTAAGAGTGACGTCCCATTTATAGGCTGTGTGCCCTTGAACAAGTCATTTGTTCAAAAGAAACATGGTAAGAAACATTCCTATAAGATAGGAATATATCTAGGAGAAAAATTGGCCAATTAAGTCAGAAGATTTAGCCAGTAGGTCAAAGCAGATAAATAGATGTTTGTTTACTGACTCATTTGATGTTTTTTTATGCCACTGGGATTTGCACTCAGGACCTTACACTTCCTAGGCAGGTGCTCTACCCCTTGAGCAACACCCCCAACCTTATTTTTTGGTAGGGCCTCATGTTTTTGCCTGGGACCAACCTCACACCTGATCCTCATACCTATGGACTCCTGTGTAGCTGGGATCCCAGGAGGGTGCCACCATGCTGATTTTCAGCTCAGAAAGAGTAAGAGCCAGGAACAACAGTGTCTGTAAGATGGATAATAGATCGGATCATTCATGAAAAACACAAAGGTCTAAAATACCAGTATTGGGGCTGGGTGTGGTGGCACACGCCTCTAAGCTCAGTGAACTGTGTTGCTTAGTATCAACAACACAGTGTTTTTTCAAGGGAAAAATGGCAATGGTTAATACCAGGCATTTTAAGCAACTGACTTCTTTAACCCTGACAACCGTGAGACTGTTATTACATATTACTACTGTTATCTTTATTTTACAGTTGAAGAAAGTGAGGCCCAGGGAGTAAGTAACTTTCCCAACATCAGGTGGCAGGGCATGTGACTCATACCCATAATCTTAGCTACTTAGGAGGTAGCGATCAGGAGGATCAAAGTTTGAGGCCAGCCCAGGCAAAAAGTCAGCAAGACCCTATCTCAATCAATAAAAGCTGGGCTTGGTGGTGCAAAAGTGTAAAATAGGAGATCAAACTCCAGGCCAACCTGGGGAATAAATGTGAGACCCTATCCCAAAAATAACTAAATCAAAAATGCCTGGAGGAGTGGCTCAAGTGATAGAGCTCCTCCCTTGCAAGCACAAGGCCTTGAGTTCAAACACCAGTACTGCCAAAAAAAAAAAAAAGGCATACTTGCTAAGCTGCAAAAAGTGTATAGATGATAAAAAGTGTACACTGAATGAATTGATGTTCATCTTGGCCCATTTATTTTTTTAATTCCTGAATTTTCTAAGAAACATACACTTTGCTTAGGCTATCCAATTACTGCCATTTATTAACTATAAATTGGGTGTTCAGATGCCATTAAATTCAGCACATAATACAATGCAAAGGAACTCCTGTGTTGAGGTTTCCAGTAAATAGAAGGAAGGCTGCTAAGTGAGCAATCTATTAGTTCTCCAGCATCTTGCCTGGTGGACATCTACGCTACTACATTTGCTGCTGCCATGTGATCCCTGTGTCTCTGCTGTCACCAACAGAAGTGTCCATCCTCAAGGGGAAAAGTGGAACACTCTGTAATATGGCTTCCCACAAAGCTAGTACATAAAATCTTGGGAAAGTGTACTTACTGCTTTCTATCCAGGTAAGTTCTAGAAAAGTACACATCCAAACCAGGCACAGGGCTTTCAACGTGCCTTGCTTTGACAAATGATTGGGTTTCCTCTTTCATTTCAGGTCTTGAGGTTTGAGAATATTCTGTCCTCCATTCTTCACTTTGGAGTCCTCCCACTGGCCAACAGTAAGGGATTCTCGGGAAACAATGTGACTTTTACATTGGCTAAATGTTAGGGCTGGCTTGGGACCTTTTGCCTTGAAATCTGTACTTTTAGAGTGGTATTATAAATCCAGGCCAGAACCAGAAATTTACAGTGTCATCCACAGACTTGCCAAATTAGTTATTCAGGGTCCAAGCATTGGTAGTAACAAGAATTGCCAACTCTGGCTGAATTAAGAAGGTTGAAACTAATGTCCTTAGACAGAGAGTCTCCTCGAGGTCAACTAGAAAGGAAATGATTTCCCAGGAAACATCTCTGTGGTTCTTATGCAAGTACTGCTGTCTGGACAGTTTAATGAATGATAATCCTGGATCTCTCCCCAAACTATGATTATCCACAAACAGCAGCATTCAGACATTGACTCAGTTAAAATATTTTTTATATTAGACCTCAAAATGTTCCAGGACTCACTAATTAGGTATTTTCAAAATATAAGCTGAGAATACAGAAAATTTTGCAAGCATTTTTCTGGTGTCCAAAAGCACATAATTGCTGATGCATTTTTATTAAATTCAGACTAATCAATAATTCTTCCAGGAAAACACTGTGGTAAACTATCAGAAAGAATGAAAAGATAACTTATTAAAAACTGCTTATTTGTCTTTTGCTAAAAAGTCTGCCAGAGACAGAAGTATGGCTCAAGCAATAGAGTGCCTGTTCAGCAAGTGAGAAGCTCTGAATTCAAACCCCAGTCTGTGCCCAGGGACCCAGTTATCTTATATCTTTTTCTGTGTTTTAGCCAAATTGCAGCAAGGATTTCCTCTTCCAAACCCACACAAAATCTCATTCGTCAATTCAGATATTGAAGTTCTTGAGGTAAGATTTTTAATCTTCTCTTAATTGGCCCATTTCTTTTCACAATAAAATAAGCCTGTTACTGTTTGTTGTTGTTTTTCTGCTTTGCTTTTTCCCACCCCAAAGAATTTTACAAACAAAATTTTTAGCTCTTAAAGCTTGCAATTGACAATGTAGTTTAAGTCAGACCAAGTCCAATATCACTTAGCAGCTGAATGTATTCATTTTATGGTACCAAAAGATACTCTTGAATGCACTTTATTTGCTCCATAAATCAAGCTGTAAGGTAGAATTATTAATCTCTTCTTATAGATGAGGAAAGTAAGACACAGAGAGGTGAAATGGCTTGGTTAGCTAGAAAAGGGGATGACTAGAAAATACACTAATTCAGGATATAATACATATATACACAGAAATGTCACAATGAAACTCCCTGTATAGCTATGCTAAACAAACAGAAATGTCTTTTTCCAAAAACAGAGAACAGGAAGGTAAAACAGGTCCTGTGTGGGAGTTGTTACCAGTGGGAGGGGGAAGATAAAGGAAAGGTTGTATGACAGTGAATATGGTGGAAAAAAAATATTATGTACTCATGTATAGAAATGGAAAAATGAGGCCTGTTGAAACTATGCCAGAATGGGGGGAGAGGAGAATAAAAGAGAATGATGGAGGGGGCAAATTCAGCTATGGTACCTCGTAAGCACTTTTGTAAATGTCACAGTGTACCCCCAGTACAACAATAATATCACAAAAAGAAAAAGGGATGGCTAGGGCCAGATTGGCTCTTCTGATTCTCCCAGTCAGTGGGCTTCCATCTACAGACCCTCCTCTAAGCTCAGGGATCTACTGAAAGCTGTTTCCTGGGTAATCATTATTAACCAGGAAATCATAATACCTTTTTTCCCTTTTATTTTGACATTCCTTTTGTTTGGAGAGGTGAAAATAAGTTTTGGAAAGAATCTCACATCTTTGTGGTACTTCATATTCCTTCTTACCTCCCTGCCTCCCTCTTCTCTCTTCTGACCTCCCCACCTCCCATTGCTTAAGTCACATCTAGAGTGGCTCTTTCTTCATCTGAGGACCTCGCACAATGGGGGCAGGAATTGGGGAAGGCTTGCTGCCTTCAGCCCTGGTAAAGCAACCCTCTCTCCCTCACCCCTTAGGCAAACCCAGACACACCCCTAATTGGATAATATCTTCATCATTGCATCCTGTACAGGGTTTCCTTTTGATTTCTACTGACCTGAAGCATGAAATGTCCTCAAAGCAACAACCAAGTTCCCATAGCTGGGGAAGTTTGAACCTAATAAGTGGACGGTGGAGGGAGAAGCCAGCCTCTTGATTGCCTAATGGCAAATAAGTGGACCATGAAGAAAGAAGCCAACTGTTTTCCAACCCACCTCAGGAAGTAAAAGGCCCTTAATGGACAGCTACTGTAAACCCAGAAAGCGGGGGAGGGGCAGTGCATGCTGGGATTTTAAAGACCTTGTGAATTGCTTAGGCAGAAAGTTTTCCTTTGGAGGCCTTCGAGACCTAGAGTGAGGCAGATAGGGCTAAAGGGTTTGATAAGGAGGGTGGGGTGAATGTGAATGTATGCATGTATGCTTTGTGCCTGTGTTTATAAGATTCTGGGGACAAGAGCCAGGCATGTACATCTGACCAGGTGCATCAGAAGCTCTTAAGCCTGCATTCATGTTGGTTGTTTTCTGTGGAGATCCTCTTAGCTCTCTAGAGGTTTTCCCCACCTGCATATTGGATTTTACGTTTTATATTCACTGTCACTGTCCTGTGTTTAATAAATTGTTTTCTATCCATGTCAGTCTCTTTTTGAGATATTTCTTTTGTCCTGAGTTTAACAAAATATGACAGAGAAAAGGGAAGAGAATTTCTTTAACATTGGTAAAAAGTGAGATTGTACACCCGTCAAAGGTTTGATTTTAAAAGGAAAAAACTGGCCTCTTAAATGTCATTTAAATGTCATTTAAGTCTTAAGACTTAAAATGGTGGTGCAGAGTACTAAATGTAGACAATTCATAGTTGATAATGATAATAATAATAATGTCATTGATCAGTAGGGTAAACTGGGGTGCAGTGGGGAGAACCAGTATGGATGTGTGAGAAATTAATGGAAACCACAGTCTTTGCTTGTGCAGCATGTACAGGCTAGTGGGAGGATGAAAGAGAGCCCCTTACAGCGTACTTCCCATGGGCCAAGCCCTGGGCTGGTCATTCCTCCCATGTCACTTCATTTCATCTTCAGAACCACTCTATGAAAAGTAATGATCCCATTTCACAGATGAGGAAACAGTGGTTAAGAGGGACTCATCACACAAAACTTGTAAAGGACACAGAAATCGAATCCAAGTCTTCCTGATTCCAAAGTTGCTGTTGTTTACATGAGGCAGGGCTGCAAACTGAAATCACTTAAACCTCATATATGACAATGAACAAGAGACACTGTGTTTAAAAGCATGATCATAGAGGCCCTCCCTAATCACAAAGGAGGCTGGACTAGGAAGCCCAGGCCTTCCATAGGGGCTGCAATTTACTCATCTTTGCAGCCCAGGTCTGGTCATAATAGGTGTTCCCACAAGAACATGTAGGAATAAATGATAAACTGTCATGTTTCATCTTTGGGACACTCTTTTCTAACAGAATAGTCACTTGATGCATATCCACAGATTATTCTGAAACATTACAGATATTCAGGTGTGGTGTTTATTCAAACATGTTTGTTTTTCTCAGCTGTAGGCATGTATTTATTCCCCTCAGAGCCCGGTTGTAAACTACAAGCCATGTATTCTCTAGAGCAGTTAAACCTGACCCACATGTTTTCAAGAGCTGCTCAGAAACACTTCCAAAATGAAGATAATAGACCCTACTGAAACTACTAAAGGGCTGGAACCACGGCTCAAGTGGTAGAGCGCCTACCTATCAAATGCAAGACCCTTATTTCAAACCCCAACACGGCCAAAGGAGGGGAGAAAACAAGCTTAAATCTAAAACCTACTGGAGCCGGGCACGGCGGGGCAGTCTGTAATCTCACACTCGGGAGACAGAGGCAGGAGACTGGAAAGTTCAAAATGAACTTCATAGCAAGACCCTGTCTCAAAAAACCAATAAAAACAACATAACATAACATAACAACAACATAACATACACAAACAACAACACATGACTACTTGGTTGAGCTCAGCTGCAGCCTCGCCAACTTAAACAAATACAGAGATCCAAGAAAAGCAAACGCTAGACGGCAGTCTAACGAGAGGAAAGCGACTGGCACGTGGAAACGAAGCGTTTTGGCCCTCGGCGCCCGCCGTCGCCCTTCGGCTGCGCGGCCTGCCGCGCATGCGCGCTGCGTGCACGCAAGCAGACTGTGCGACAGCTACTTTTCATAGTGGGATCTGGTGCTTACGCCACTTTGTTGCCACCATGAGTCGCAACTATAACGATGAGCTGCAGTTCTTGGACAAGATCAGTAAAAACTGCTGGAGGATCAAGAAGGGCTTCGTGCCCAACATGCAGGTGAGGCGGGGCCCTCCGCGTTCGGGTCGCCTGGCCCCTTCCCCCACTCTCCCGCTGCAGGATCTCCCGCTTCCGTGCCGCACCACTTCCTCCCCCGGGACCCCTCTCCCTCCGCCCCACCCGCGGGAGAGGCCCCCAAACATTGGGACCCACGGAGCGGGCGTTTGCACAGCGTTTTCACACGCCGGTCTCCTGAGCGCATGGTGGATGTGCGCTGGCTCGGGTCCTCAGACTTTCCAGTCCTGGGTGGAGTGGGGGGGGGGGGGAACATGGAGTCCGCAGATCGCTGTCTGAACCACGCTTTTAGCACTCTCATTCCCTGTTTGCAATCAAACGGTTCCGTTCCTCACAACAGGCAAGAGGCACAGGTTACGGGTTGTTTGTTTTGAATGTGCTCTTCGCAGAAGGATCCCGAGGATCAGCAGGTGACACGGTTTTCTACACCCACCTCGGAAGAGCTCGGCCAAGACGTCATGTCCAGTTCCCTCTGCGGCGACGATGTGTCCCTCGGGGAGACTTGGGAGCCCAAAACCAGAGACTGAAACCCTGAGCTCGCTGCCTTTGCTAGGCTGCATTGCCATTTGTGCTATGTTTTCCGTTAATGGGAAGGAAGAAAACATTTGTGAGGTTTTGGTGCCTCTGTAGCATTTGAAATCCCGTAAGGACTGCAGTCCTGTGTCTTGCTCAATGGTTCCCAATTAACCGTTCCACTCTGATGCAGTGTCAAAGCTTACCAGATGTTTGTATCCTGTCAGCACACACTGAGGAGTGAAAAAATCCACGGTGATAAAACAGTGCTCCACTTTCCCTTCGGTTCTGTGGGGAAATGGGAGTTCATTTGCTTATTATTTTTTAATTGGCACATTAATAAGAGTATATCCTAGGGGCACCATGTAGTGTTCAGTGTGTATACACTGTGTAATGTTCAAGTCAGAGTAAGCTTATCTCCTCAAACAATTTGTGAAGATTGTAAGATAAAGGGTGAATAACTGTCCTTTTTCTGAAATGCTTGGGACCAGAAGTGTTTCAGATGTTGGAGTTTTTTAGATTTTGTAATATTTACATAGAAGCTACTGGTTGAGCATCCCTAGTCTAACTCCAAATCAAATATGCCCCACAATCTGGAACTTTTTCAACATCTTTCAGTCTGAGTAGAAGGGCTTTTTTTGTTGTTGTTGTCGTTTAAGGTAATATGAAAGTTTTGTACAAAGTAAAACAATAAATACTACATACAGTGTGTTTTGTCCACTGTGCTTTACTTCAAGAACATGTGTTCAGATAGTTTTCCTTTTTCCTGGTACCAGGTTGAAGGAGTTTTCTATGTGAATGATGCGCTGGAGAAATTAATGTTTGAGGAATTGAGGAATGCCTGTCGGGGTGGTGGTAAGTAACATTAGTTTTACTTGTACAAGTGGAGCTATATAGTCTGAGTAAATAGTAACTCCAAATACTTTGGATTTTTTAAATATAAAGGAAGGGTAAAGGCTTGAAATGAACCAAAGTGTTTCCTTACTTGTGATCACATTACTAACCATTTGGTCTTGTAGAAAGAATTTGGAGGTGGTTGGGCCTGGTTTGTGTCTCAGCTAACCTAAGCACATGGTAGCAAGAGCTACCATTTATCCTGTACTTCATACCAGTTATTTCCCTAAGTGCTTTACATTCGTTGTCCATGTATCTTTGTCAGTCTTTTGCAGATGTGTAAGTCAAAGCTCAGTGTGGATAAGTGATTTAATTTGCTTGTGGTCATAACTTGATAACTGCATCAGAATTCAACCCAAAAGTGATCTCAAAACCAGTATTCCTAACCAATACCCTGATTAGCTTTAGTGAACTTCAGTTGTCTGATTTGTAAAATAGGACTTACTAACCCCTATCTCACATAGCTGCAGCAAGGTTTAGAGATAAATGTTATGAAGCACTAAGATAATATTCTAAAGATGATGGTAGAATAGAAATCATGTAATTTTGGCTTCTTTTATTAGATCAGCAAACTAAAGACTTTCTATGGTATGCGTACTCGTCTAAAATGACACAGCTAGGGCTGGAAGTGTGGCTCAAGTAGATTTGCTGTCTAGCATGTGTGAAGCCCTGAGTTTGAATTCCTAGTATTGCCCAAAAGTAAATAAATTAATAAAATAACACAGCTAACAAGTGACAAAGCTGGACTGGACCCCCACATCCCCTGATTCTGAAGGCATTGTTTGCCCAGTTCTTCCTCATTGCCCTTTGTCACTTAGATTAAAACTGTTAACTTTTTTATGTAAAACATTGAAATAATACATTTTAATATTGACAACATAAAGGTTAATAGTTATGTTTTATTATATCTCCTATGTAACATTTGCAAGCAAACTTCTCCTGGTATACACATATTTGTATTTAATCTAGTGGTTTGGTCTTTCCTGCATATGTGCTTTCTTCTTGAATAAACTCCCTTCCCACTTGCTTTCCAACAGTCCTTTACTTTGTTGTTTTAGTAACCTTAACTACTACCCCTTCATGTAAGTCTAGAAACATGAATGTAATTAATGCTGAAAATCCAACATGTCTAAGACTAAATTTTTGTCTTCAGGTGTTGGTGGTTTCCTACCAGCCATGAAACAGATTGGCAACGTGGCAGCACTGCCTGGTATTGTTCATGTGAGTCAGAGTTCAGAAGTTTAATCGGTTCTGTTTCTTGTCTACAATTTGTGAGATACATGAATGACCACGCCAACAGACTGTGATATCATTCAGACAGTGACCTTTGAACATTTAGCAATAATTATAAAACCTAAGGAATAATTGAATTGGCTAGCATCTCAGTTCCTGATTGCCTTTAGTAGAATCTATAAGCACTCGAGAACCTTTAACAAAGTTTTTATGTTCTTTCATTTCTTTGTCATAGTAACATTATTCCTTGGTCAGTTCACCACAATTGTAGTTTTCACTGTGGCCCTATTCAAGAAGATAGTTGGAGAAGAAACATAAAGAAAATAAGTGTAGGAGTCAGGACTGAGTGGAGGGAGCGGGAACAACACAGCTCTTATGCACATGCTTGGGAAAGAAGGGCAGTGACAATAGCAGAGATGGTCTTCCCATATCTTGTTATTCTGAGGCTTCTCTATTTTGGGTTTCCTTGGTTAAAAGTAAGGCTTCATGAAAAGATTTTTTTCTCACTATAATTGGCTTTGTGATTAGTAGTTCTTACACCTAATTTCCACCATAGAAATGTAAAAAGAAGTCTTGATTTTACTAGTGCTTCAGCCTGCAGCCTGTTTGACAATCAGTATTAGGTTCATCAAGCAACCAAAGTAAGTCAGGTGTATTTCACTTTCTGATTCTCTTCCAGCGATCTATTGGGCTTCCTGATGTCCATTCAGGCTATGGGTTTGCCATTGGGAATATGGCAGCCTTTGATATGAATGACCCTGAAGCAGTGGTATCTCCAGGTAAGGTCACTCACTGCATGTCTGCTGTAAGATGTGTAGCTCATTAGCTTTCCCAAGGTAGAACTGCCTCTCTGTGTGCATCTCTCAGTCTCACTGTATTCTATCATTTCTTTTCCTCTCATTACTGAGAAAATTAGTTGTAGACACTTAGAAGCTATTAAAATATCAAACAAAGCATCCATATATCAAGCATTATTTGGCCATTGCCTATAAAACAAACATTTCTCTGGTGAATTTTGTATCTTTGTAACACATTTACCTCTTAGGGCCCAATAACGTTACTTTTACCTTATCACACTGCAGTATTGTGAGGATTAAATGAGTTCAGCTACATAAAATACTTAGGCCAGTGCTGGGCACATAGGAAGTACTCAGTAAGTGTTTGCTGTCACCATTTTTGTATGTATTCACCTCTAGTTCTATATATAAATATAAATATATCCTTCTGTGGTTACAGAATGTGTTCACTGAAAACATTCCATATCAGAAATAATACTTTTGCTTTCAAAGAGTCTGAATGCAAAATGAAAATTTAAATGACATTTTCAGCATTCTGCCTCTGGCAATAGTGGACTAAGTTGTTACAGACCAATCCCTTGCTGAAAATTTAAAAGCAAAACCCTAACTGAAGGCACAGGAAAACCACTAAGGCATTAAGAGGAATATGTTCTCCTAATATTTAGCACAGTTTTTCTCATGAGGTCATGGCAATTTTCAGTAAAGATACAGATGATTTGTATCATACAACTAATAGTCTTACAAACTTGACTTCTTGACCTTAATTTGCGCATGGTTATATGTGCCCTATACTGCCGTGCTGAGCATATGCTTTCTTCAAGTGCGCACAGAACATTTAACGCACTGACCATGCGCTGAGCCGTAAAGCAGGTCCTAAATTTCAAACCATTGAAATCATTAGCAGTCCCAAATGTTTTGGGCTCAGGAACCCTTTATGATTCTTTAAAATGATTGAAGATTGATCTCAAAGACTTTTGTCAGAATTTACCTTACTAGAAATTAATACTGAGAAATTTCTTAAGGGTTTTTTCAAATTATTTTTTTAATTTATTTATTTTAATTTTATTTTTTATTATTCACATGTGCATACAATGCTTGGGTCATTTCTCCCCCCTGCCCTCACCCCCTCCCTTACCACCCTCTCCCCCTCTTCCTGTCCCCCCCCCCTCGATACCCGGCAGAAACTATTTTGCCCTTATTTCTAATTTTGTTGAAGAGAGAGTATAAGCAATAATAGGAAGGAACAAGGGTTTTTGCTGGTTGAGATAAGGATAGCTATACAGGGCATTGACTCACATTGATTTCCTGTGCATGTGTGTTACTTTCTAGGTTAATTCTTTTTGATCTAACCTTTTCTCTAGTTCCTGGTCCCCTTCTCCTACTGGCCTCAGTTGCTTTTAAAGTATCTGCTTTAGTTTCTCTGCGTTGAGGACAACAAATGCTAGCTAGTTTTTTAGGTGTCTTACCTATCCTCACACCTCCCTTGTGTGCTCTCGCTTTTATCATGTGATCAAAGTCCAATCCCCTTGTTTTTGCCCTTGATCTAATGTCCACATATGAGGGAGAACATACGATTTTTGTTCTTTTGGGCCAGGCTAACCTCACTCAGAATGATGTTCTCCAATTCCATCCATTTACCAGCGAATGATAACACTTCATTCTTCTTCATGGCTGCATAAAATTCCATTGTGTATAGATACCACATTTTCTTAATCCATTCGTCAGTGCTGGGGCATCTTGGCTGTTTCCATAACTTGGCTATTGTGAACAGTGCCGCAATACACATGGATGTGCAGGTGCCTCTGGAGTAACAGTCTTTCGGGTATATCCCCAAGAGTGGTATTGCTGGATCAAATAGTAGAATACTGAGAAATTTTTAAAATGCAAAAACAAGTACATGTTTCATTTTTGTTATCAGAGCAAACATGTTAAAATATGTCATATAGCCTTTGGAAAATCTTACCAAATATTCATGAAAAAATAAGAGTGAAAGAGAAGTTGGGTGTAGTGGCACACACCTGTATTCCTAGCGCTCATGAGTCTGAGGCAAGAGGATTGTAAGTTCAAGGCTATCATAGGCCACATAGGGAGACCCTGTCTCAAAAACCAAAAATAAATAAATAAATTAAAAGTGAAAGATGAAAAAGACAATGTCTTAACATTATTATAAAATTAACTTTACAGACCTGAAAGGCTCTTGACCCTCCATAACCATCCCCAAATCTCTGGGCCACACTTAAGAAACACTGATATGGATAATATTATTGAATCACTGTGGAATTAAGTTAGAAATCTTTTTTTAAACTAGAAAATTGGGCCAGTGGTGTGACTCAAACACTAAGAGCGCCTTCCTAGCAACCATGAGACCTGAGTTCAAAGCCCAGACCCTGCTAAAAAAAAACTAGAGAATCCGCCAGTATACTTGAACTTTAGCCATATGCTTTTAAGTAACCCATGGGTCCAAAACAATCATAATGGAAATTAGAAAATACTTTGAATTTTAATAACAAATGCTATATCTAAAAATTGAGGATGTTGAGAAAAGAACAACCTTGTGCACCGTCGGGGACCGTGAATTGGCATAGCCGATAAGGTTCCTTAAAAAATTAAAAATAGAACTTCCCTTCGATCCAGCAGTCGCAGTCTGTCACTGTCTCAAAGAGATGACTGTGCTGCCTTGTTTTTTATAGCATTCTTCACTATAGCCAAGGTCTGGAAACAACCTAAGTGCCTGTTGACAGATGATGAAGAAAATGTGGGTAGGTGGGTGCAATAAATACATTACATCACCTAAATGTAGAGAGCAGAATGTTGCTTGCCAAACTATAGGGTAGACAGGTGATTTGGGAGATGTTTGTCAAAGGGTTCAAAATGTCAGTTAGAAGATGATTAAGTTCTGGAGACTGGCGTGTGGTATGGTGACTATAGTTAACAGTAACATATTGAATATTTGAAATTTGCTAAGAGAGTGGATCTCAGGTTTTCTCACCAGATAAAGAGAGGTAACTGAGGAAAAAGATATGTTAATTAGCTCAGTGTGGCGATCATTTTAGTATCTGTGTATATCACATGTACCTAAATATAACAGTTTTGTCAGTTTTATCAATAAAGCCAGGAAAAAATGGTTTTAAAAATAAGTTGAAAAATTTTGAGTTACTATTAATACTATTCTTGACTGCAAACATACACTGTAGTCTTAAATGCACAAATTAGGGAAAAAGAAAGGCTGAAATAGCTCAAGATAGAGAAAAGAACAAATTAGACCCTAAAAGACAAAAGAGATGGAAATAATTAAGAGCAAAAATAATGAAATTAAAACATAAATAGAAAAGACCAACAAAGCCAAAAGTTGGTTATTTGAAAAAAAAACAAATGGGAAAAAAAGAAAAAAAAAACAATAGAATTCACTGGCCCCTGGCAACTGAGTCAGAAAAAGAGAGAAGCATTACTCATATTGTCATCCCTGTTTGACGTGGTACTCATTGGTCATTGTGGCCTCACTGGCCCATCAAGTACCTTTAGTTCATATTTACTTTGGACTATTTCAGTGTCACTAGATTTTACTCAGCAGCCTACTTCTTTGATAGCTACCTTAGGAGAATGGGTATCTTTTTAACCCTATATTAATTGTAAGAAACTGCAGGTAGCAACTGCTTAACCATCAGTTTTTGCTAATTGCCTTTTCTACGTTTTGTAGGTGGTGTCGGATTTGACATCAACTGTGGTGTCCGCTTACTAAGAACCAATTTAGATGAAAGTGATGTCCAGCCTGTGAAGGAGCAACTTGCCCAAGCTATGTTTGACCACATTCCTGTTGGGGTGGGATCAAAAGGTGTCATCCCAATGAACGCCAAGTAAGAGCACAAGTTCTAGCAAATGGAATGGGAGAAAAACCACATGACCCTCAGCTTTGTTTCTAATGTGGACGCTTGAGAGATGGAGATTGCTCAGTCACTTTTATGAATATAAATGAGTTGGTTTTATAAGCGTGAGATATAGCCCATTTAGGAGAGACATTCGTTAACTGATGTTCACTAGAAGAGTCCTTGAGCTGGGTGTGGTGGCATAGGCCTGTAGTCCGAGTTACTTGGGAGACTGAGGCAGGAGGATCATTTTAGCCCAAGGGTTCAAGGTCAGCCTGAACAGCACAGCAAGACCCTGTTCTAAAAAAGAAAGAATGAAGCTGGGGTTGTAGCTCAGAGCTACACTTCATGTACAGGGCCCTCAGTTCAGTCCCCAGCATTGCAAAAAATAAAGGGAGAAAGAAAAATCCTTGACATAGTATAATATTTATAATGGAATAATATCCACTACTGTTTATTTAGTACTTCCTAAATGTAAGGCACTGTGGTATCGTACAATTTTATCTAAACAATAACTCAGGTATCCCTGATTTACAAGAAAAGAAGTCGAGGTTGAGGAAAGTAATAAATAAACTTAGTAAATGATGTCAGGATTCAAACCAAAGATCTTTTGACTCTTTCAGAAGCTGTATTCTGAATCCCACTCCCTTTTGTCAGTGAACTTACTCACAACCCTCCTTTTGAGTTAACATACTGAATGTGTGCTTCAGCTGCGTAGAGAATTAAATACAAGGTTACGGTATGGCCGCCTCTCAGATAGCCGTTGACTGGACTGGACTGTGTCGTTGTTCTCAAAACTGCACCTTAAACTTTGCAGAGTACTTCAGTAGCAGAAGAGTGTGCTTAACAAGTTCAAGTCAACAATGTTCCTTTGGTATCTTCTGTTTTGTCTTTAAAATTCATGTGAATTTTGCTTCTTTTCCAAGTATATATGCATACAGAAATATTGTAGCTACTACCTGTTACATTATACATTCCTTCCCACCAAAAAAAAGAAAATATTTAAAAACAGACATTTGACATAAAGTTGATATACTTGGAAGACACTAATTCTGTGATTTCAGATGATCCTAACAGTAGCCTCACTTTGAAAAACAACAGTGAATTTCAGGCCTCTTCATAAATATTTTAGGTAGGAATTTTATCCTAACAATACATAAAATGGACTGTGCCTAGGTAGCAAGGAATGGAATATTGAAAGCTATAATCTCTTCTGACCATGTTTTAGAAGAAGGTAGACCATGGATGAAGATTAAAGCTTCTTCACTCTAAGCATTTAATGTTGCAGTTGCAATAAAGCCACATAATACCTTTGTAAAGGTGGTAATCCACCTTAAAATTTGTGTCAGAAGAGGTTTACATTTTATTATTGGACTGTAATTTTTTTGTGGATTATTAACAAAGGTGTATAGTAGTAAAATTAGTGGTAAATAGTGATAATTTATCAAGATTACAAATCTTTGGCTGTTTAATCACAACCTCAGTGAATTCAGGATAGGAGAGGCAAATCCAATGGAAAAAAAAGATTTGAAAAGTGCAGCAGACTATATAAATGTCAAGAAGAATTATAACCATTTCAAATGAAACTTTCACCAGTTTATATTGTGATATTTATGTGACTGCTTTCCTTACAACTAGAGTGCTGGAACATAACTGTGTAGCTAGCACAGGCCTAATACATAGGAGGTAATTGTAGTCTGTCTCTCTGCCCTTTGAGATGTGGTCCTTCTTAGGTTTGATCTGACTTTGCTTTGAAATAACTAGACTTTATATGACTCACTCAGAGACTTGGAGGAGGCCTTGGAGATGGGTGTGGACTGGTCCCTAAGAGAAGGCTATGCCTGGGCTGAAGACAAGGAACACTGCGAGGAGTATGGAAGGATGCTGCAAGCTGACCCCAATAAGGTCTCAGCTAGAGCCAAGAAAAGAGGCCTTCCTCAGGTAACTGACTTCTCAAGGACTACATGTTACTTTTCCATATTTAGTTTTTATTGGGGGAAGAAATCTATATATCTTTTTGCTAAATGCAATAACCATACCCTTGGGACTTTTCACAGTATATCAAAAAGAATGCAAATCTACTTATGCATCAGGCATAAGTAGATAAAAAAAACTCCAGGAGCTTGCAAATATTCATAAAAATAGCATAGGTATCATAAATTAGAAGTGGATAGGAAAAAATGGGATATGATTGTAAGGTTTACAAAACATGCCAAAATTATATATGGACATACTTTGACATTCTGTAGATAGGACCAAGTTTTCTGGCATCTAAGATAAAAAGACATAACCTTGTCAATTGTGGTGTCCAAGAAGTAAGAATACCAGATGTTTGAAATTGTGATAAGTTTGCCACCACCCATTCACTGTGACCTTGAGTGAGATTCTTGACCTCGCATGGGCTCATTTTTCCTATTGAAAAATTGGAATAGTTAAAATTTGGCAACCTTTGAGACTCTTCCAGCACTGTTGTTCTCTGCCTGTCTAGAATATACCTGGTTATAGGTATGTTCTTTCAGTGGTGGGTGTTTCTGAACTTAAAGGTGCATCATAACTCATTGGAATCTTGTTTCAGAATCAGCATCCACCGTCATTCTTTGTAGAATTTGACCCTTAATGATGTTTAAAATGTTCTTGAGTCATTTAATGGCAGGGGGTTTTTTTTGGTTCATGATGCTTTTTATGTGTGTACACTTCACATATACAATGAGAATAGATCTCAGGAGCTGGTCTATAGTATTGTGTGGAATATTGTTTTAAGTGAATGAAGCATTTCTAAGGCTTAGAATGTTTTTGTTACATAAAACATTATTTGTATGGTTATTTTGTTGGTCATGGTGTTTACTTTTACCTATTTGTTTTTAAATGGATCTTCTTTAAACCAGATTAGAAGTTACTTTATCATTCTTACATTTGCAGTTGGGGACCCTGGGAGCAGGCAACCACTATGCAGAAATCCAGGTTGTAGATGAGATTTTCAATGAGTATGCAGCTAAGAAAATGGGCATTGACCACAAGGGACAGGTGTGCGTGATGATCCACAGCGGAAGCAGAGGCTTGGGCCACCAAGTAGCCACAGGTATACTCTAGACCTCATTTTTTTACTTGGCACCAAAATGTAGTTTATACTGCGTGGGATTTTTATCCTGGTTCTTCTAACTTGTGACCTAAATAACTTCATTGGGCCTTTCTCATCTTTAAAAAAAAAAAAAAAAAAAGAGTTATAATCATCATTTCATATGGTGAATTATTGTTTGTAAAATACTTAAATGAGTACCTAGTGCTTAGTAAGCATCCAATAAATGTTACCTCCAGTTATTGTTACATTTACTCTTAGGAGTTACTGTTAACTATCTTGCCAAGAAAGAGCAAGACTAAGCTGTGGAGTTGATGAAGTAGGCATTCATTGACCAAGTATCAGGTTCCTGCTGTGCAGGACTTAAGATAAAGTCATTATTTCATGACAATGACATGTTTCAAAGAAACAAAAAGATAAAAGGTAGTAGAAAGAGAAAATAAATATAACATGTTCAGGAAAAAGACCTCAGAGATGGCTTCATGGATAGAACATTTGAGCTGAGCCTTGCACTTTGAACAATCACACACAAAGGACATTCATGACAAAAAAGCACAAACAAAAGCAAGAAGCAGGGACATGGATGACTTTGGATGGCTTCTCGGATATGTGAAGCAATTAATGAATATGAAAAAGTATGTAAACATGGGAACTATAAACATTAAATTTCATGTTGCAGTGCAGCCTTGTATTTATATTTCATCCTGTGAGAATTAATAATTTGTGCCAGCCTGACCCTTTCAAAGCTGTATAATCTAGCAGGTGCATGAAGCATTCATTAGCTAGTGTTTCAGAACTTTGTGCTGAGTAACTTTCTGCTGAGTAACTTTCTGCACTTTGTCATGAATACAATTTTCATACAGATCTAGCAACTTTTCTCCAGCTCTTTCATATTAAGGCACTAAAAGTTATTTTTAGAAACCATGATGGTAATAAAAAATGTGTATTACTACTTCTATACTCATTCATTCACATGTTGGGGAGAGAATAGACCATGTTGTTGGTATTTATGTACACATCTCATTCTCACTTAAAGTTTCTAGAAGCACATGCTGTGTTTGTACCCCTACATAGTTTATGTCACCCATTCTGAAAGAGAAGATTCTCAACAAACATCTTGACTGAGCAGATAGATGAACTCAGAAACATATTAAAAGGAAAGTTATATTTTTCCCTTATAGGGTAAATTTGAATGTAGTCTTCCCTTATGCAGATTTCTTTAAGGAAACCTAACTGGTTAGGACTTGTTGCTCTCTTATTCCAGATGCTTTAGTAGCTATGGAAAAGGCCATGAAGAGAGACAAAATTATAGTCAATGACCGTCAGTTGGCATGTGCTCGGATCTCTTCCGCAGAGGGACAGGACTACCTAAAAGGAATGGCAGCAGCCGGGAACTATGCCTGGGTCAACCGCTCTTCCATGACCTTCTTAACCCGTCAGGTACAGTAAAATTGATCTTCTGAGTTAATCATCATGAAGTTAAGTGTGTTAAAAACATGTCGTAGTCAAATAAAAGGAAGTGGAGTTTGATTGTGGAAGTTTGCACAACATTCAAAATGCTGGGATGGGACTAGGGGCATGGCTCAAGTAGTAGAGTGCAAGGCCCTGAGTTCAAACTCCAGTCCCACCCAAAAAAAAGTACTGGAGAAGTGTCCAAGGTTTTGGTGTTCTAAACTAAATCAGCAATGTCAGGCACACCTGGAAAATGAGAGAAGAGAAGCAAATGATTGCCTGAATTTGCTGTCAGCCTCAGAAAGAATGGAATTACCATTTGCTGAGATTAAAAGGGCTGAGAAAGAAGCATTTCTGAAGGGTGGGATTAAGAGAGCAGTCAGGCGGCCTTCCAGCCAGAGATGGAGTTTAGAGACTGGAGTGTGGCCTAAAGGGTAGTCTCTCCTTTAGGTGAAGATCAGTAATTTTGCTCTTTTCTAACTCTGAAGTCTCTCTCCTTAGGAACACACAAGCTGATAGTTAGTAAGTTAAGTTCTGCACAGCTGGTTTCTGGATGCTTTTAACAAGCTGTTCTTCCTAGGCCTTTGCCAAGGTCTTCAACACGACCCCTGACGACTTGGACCTGCACGTGATTTATGATGTTTCTCACAATATCGCCAAGGTGGAGCAGCATGTGGTGGGCGGAAGGGAGCGGACGCTGCTGGTGCACAGGAAGGGCTCTACCCGTGCCTTCCCTCCCCATCACCCCCTCATTGCCGTTGATTACCAGGTGCATAGCCCTGCATTTGTTCTTCAGCAGAGGGGTCATTCTAAATGTGCATGCATTTAAGCAGGAAAACAATAGCTGTGTAAAGAAAAGACTCTGTCATGCGTGAGAACAGATTGCCAGTCTTCTGTGCAGCAGGGATTCCTCCTGCATCATGTGTGCTTGCAGTATGCTGTCTAAAAACTGCACTGACGATACTTTACTCCACTAACATGAACTAAGGCCTTGAAATTAATGAAAGACAGGATAAAGATTAGGCTCAGCCACTCTCTCATTTTCCAGATAAGGAAATGAAGCCAACAAATAGCAAGTGCTTTGCTCAGGATGGTTTTTCTAGTACTTGCCTCCACTTTGGGATTTTTTTTTTTCCCCATACAGTCAGTCTTCTCTGTTCTTCATGACCCTTACATTTTATTCCCTTTCTCTTCCTTTCTTTCCCACTTATCAAAAAATCAAAGTAGTATCTTAATATAATTGTAAGAGCAATGGGTTTAGAGGCCCAGGTTTCTTTCACAGTTCTGCAGTGCAAGAGGAAATATAAGAGGACTGGGAGCTTGGCTCAAGGGGTAGAGCATTTGCCTAGCAGGGACACAGCCGTGAGTTTAACCCCCAGTACTGCAAGAAAATTTAAATTTCAAGCATAAAAGGCCTATGCTTTTCTAAATTATAACCTGTTTTGTTTGTATGCATCCTTAGCTCACCGGACAACCAGTGCTAATTGGTGGCACCATGGGAACTTGTAGTTATGTTCTCACTGGCACTGAACAGGGCATGACTGAGACCTTTGGAACAACCTGTCATGGAGCGGTAAGGAAAATGGAACTTTCTTAGAGATGCTGTCTTTAGTTTACGTATTGTTTCGCATTTTGATAGATAAATGTATCTGATTGAGCATTAACAAAGTTGAGGTTTGTGTCTGTCATAGCTTTCTCTTAGAAATTATTCTCCATAATATATATTGTTTAATGAACTGAACAAAGTCACCTAGTACCTCTACCTTAGTGAGGTCATAGGAAGGCCAGGGGCTGTTCCTCACCAGAACATCCAGACTGGGAAGTTATCACTCTAGATGAATTTATAAGTGGTCTCTAAGTGATACAACTTCAACAGATGTAAATATATGTCATAGTTTATAATAGCAATTCACTGAATTTGCTTCTTTCTCATGGATAGTCTGCTCAAGATTTGAGGGGTTTGAGGGGCATGCCCTATTTGCAAATCAGACTATATATAGTCTGCACACCCATTTTACTTGTTGCTTCTCATCTTCTAAGGCAGGAATGAGTAAACTTTTATGTAAAGGGCCAGGTAGTAAATATTTTAGGGCTTGAAGGGACCATATGTTCTCTGTACCAGCTATTAAGAGAGCTTTTGTGACACAAAGCTTTTGTGACAACAGACACCATTCACATTCATGGTCGGGGTAGTGGCTTACACTTGTAATCCCAGCTACTCAAGGGGCAGAGATGGGGAGGGTCAGAGTTCAAAGCCAGCTCAGGCAAAAAACTTAACGAGACCCCCATCTTAGTCAATAAGCTGGGTATGAGGGTATGCACCTGTGATCTCAGCTACATGGGAGACCCCCATCTTAGTCAATAAGCTGGGTATGAGGGTATGCACCTGTGATCTCAGCTACATGGGAGGCCTCGGTAGGATTGCTGTCTGAGGCCAGCACCAGGCAAAAAACAAGACATCCTACCTGAAAAATAATTCAAACAGAAAAGGGCTGGGGACATGACTCGTGGTAGAGCACCTGCCCAGCAAGTACGAGGCGCTGAGTTCAAAACTAAATCTTTAAATTCAGAACCTTTAGATAGAAATTTATTTTCCAAAAGGATATGACAAGACTTCTAATAAGAGGCATGATAAAGTGGTAAGGAAAGGTAGGGTTTTTTTAGTTGAAATACATACCTACACAAACACGTATCAAGTTTGGCAGTGGTCTGGACGCTCAAGTAGCTTAGCTGGTCCAGCCAGCCTGGACACTGTAGGCAAAGTACTGAGAGCCTGTCTCAAAAACAGATAAGTATACTTTTGTGAATGGCACAGTGTACCCCCAATATAACAATGATACAGTTTTTTTAAAAAGAAAAAAATAAATGAATAAATAAGTACAATCAAGGAAGAAAATGGCTTAAGTAATTGCTGGGGTCAAAGATAAAACTTACCTTGGAATTTATTATGTGAATTTCATTCCTTTCCCCATCTCTTTTCTCATTCTAGGGTCGTGCATTGTCCCGAGCAAAATCTCGACGTAATTTAGATTTCCAAGATGTCTTGGACAAATTGGCAGATATGGGAATTGCAATCCGTGTTGCTTCACCCAAACTGGTTATGGAAGAGGTGAGAGAAATTTTGAGGCAGCAATTTTTGGTATTGCAAAAATTAATGACTTCATTTCAGTTTGTCTTCCTTGGTTTATCTCATTCTGGTTTTATGTTGTCCTTTGTTTGGAGGTTTATTACAAGCCACATCCATAAAAATGATTTTTACTATCTATATCTAGTCTCCATGTATGTAATCTTTAAAAATAGTTTGAGCTGATGCATTTTAACCTTGCTTTGCCACAGTTATATACTTCTGTTTCAGTTGGAAAGCAAATTTGAAAAAGAAAAGGGAAATGTTCAAAGAAAGTTTTGGTTGATTCACAGAGAGGAAACATTTTGTTTAGGTATGTATGCATACATACTTAAATTAGATGCACATAACTTCTTAAAAATTTAAAGGAAAAAGCCAGGTGCAATAGGTCAAGCCTGTAATCGTAGTCACTTGGGAGGTAAAGATCTGGAGGATCATGCTTCAAGACCAGCCAGGGCAAAAAGTTCATGAGATTCCATGTCAACCAATAGCTGAATGTGGTGGCACACCCCTGTCATCCCCAGTTAAGAGGGGAAGCACAAATAGCATTGCAGTGCAGGCTGGCCTGGGCATAATGTGAGACCTTATTTTAAAAGTAACCAAAGCAAAGTGGACACCAGTGGCTCACACCTGTAATCCTAGCTACTCAGGAGGCAGAGTTGGGGAGTATCAAAGTTAGATGCCAGATCAGACAAAAATGTTCACAAGTCCCCATCTCAACTAACAGTTGGGTGCAGTGGTACGCCCCTGTCATCCCTGCTACTGCGGGAAACATTAATAGGATCTCAGTCCAGGCCAGCCTGGGTAAAAAACAAAACCATATCTCAACAATAACCAGTAAAAAAGGGCTGGGGGTATGTCGCAAGGGTTAGACTGCCTGCCGAGATACTTATCACCGTATTTTTTTCCCTGAGTGCTATTTTTTTAAAGCTAGTTCTAGTTATGTATGACATTTTGTTGTTCTTTTTAAAATTTAGTAATTATAAAACTGTCTGTGGTACCTTTTAGTCATTGTTGAATATTCTGCCAGCTGAGGATCTTAGTTTCTGCCCATAGTGAACATTTAAGTAGCTTCTAGGATTTTGCTGCTATAAATTAAGTTGTAATCAGTATTTTTGTCCCTGAAGCTTTTTTCCAGGTCCTTTAATAATTAGATTGAAGTCTCAAAAGTAGAACTGTTGAGTCAGAGTATGACAAAGCCTCATCATTTAATAACTGTTAATTTTCCCTGTTCTTAAGAATACTACATTTTTAATTAAAAACTTGGGAAATAGCCAGGCTTTGGTGGCTCATGCCTATAATCCTAGCTACTCAGGAGGCAGAGATCAGGAGGATCGCAGTTCAAAGCCAACCCCTGGCAAATAGTTCACAAGACAGTATCTTGAAAAAACCCATCACAAAAAAAGTGCTGGTGGAGTGGCTCAAGCTGTAGGCCCTGAGTTCACAAAACAACAACAACAAAAAAAAATGTGGGAAATACAAAAAAGAAAACAAAAAACGTCTAGAATTCGACCAGCTGGAGTTAACCACTGTTGATGTTTGGGATGTTTACTTGCATCACGTAGTTTTTGTCTCTTCTAGGTGATAATATGGTGAACAAAACTGCTTACCAGATAGTAAAATGTGCAGTGGGTTAATGACCATGTAAGTGCTAGCAAGTAAAAATGAAGCAGGGAAAGGACATAAGAAGCGGTGGGGAGGGTGCAGTTTTAAATAGGGTGGCCATGGAAGGCTTTAGGGAGTAAGAAAAAGGCACCATGGATATCTAGAGGTAAGTTTTCCAGGCAGAGAGAACGGGTAGAAAAACTTGAGTTGAGATTGTGCAGGGAGTGTTAAAAGAGAGCAAATAGGACAAGTGTGACAAGCACAAGAGGGGGATGAAGCCAGACAGGGAGGGACACCAGATCATGTGATTCTTTTTTTTTTTTTTCCACTTTACAAAAGTACTTTCGCTTTTACTCTGAGTGAAATAGAAACCCAGTGAAGGATTTTGAGCAAAAGAATGGCATGATCTGACTAGTGTGTTTGAATGCTGATGAGAAGACTACAGAAAAATAGATGATGCAGAAAAGAGGGGAAGATTACTTACTGGAGTGCATTGTGTTTGAGAAGATGAGACAAGATGGAATCTGGTATATGTGTGAATGGGGTTGGTCTGTGCCGGAGCACAGATAATTCCTTCTTAATAAAAGGAGAGAAGGTTTCTCTGCAGATAGGTGGGAAAGATATGAAAGAGTTCTTGAAAATTCTGACTGGTTGCTTCTATTTTATTTTGGTTTGAGCATAATTAGAAGAAGGGTTAGCAATTGAGAATGAAGGCACAGGAGAAAGTATGAAATAGTCATCTAGGAGAGGGAGAGTAATGACCCATGACATTTTGGGTGATTGGCAGGCAGCACCAAAGGTTTACTTGAGTTCAATTCAGTGATTTGGGTGTTTTCATCTACATTCAACTCTGAAGGGGCAGGCATAAAATAGGTGTTGAGTTATCCTTAACTAGGGCCACAGTTACAGCACAGTTAGAGAGAAGCAAGGTTACTGAGGATGGTACAAAGGTACCATAGGGCCTAGTGAAATTAAGAGTATTGCAGATGGAGGACAGAAGGGAGGGAGCAGGACATGCAGGCTGTAATCACCTGGGATGATTGAAAATGAGGTTTTGGAGGAGTTGTAGTCACAATGACAAGTACTCAGAGTGAATGGTGGAGGCACACAAAGCAGCAACCATTGGAGGACCACAAATCAAGAGACTAAGAAGCAAAGATACCGAAAGGATCCTTTCCTGGATAACTAAATCATTCTGAACCATAGCATGAGAGGGTGACAGTGAGCCAGGAGCTAGAAATCTTCAAGTAACATTGGGGAGTGAGTCAGACTGTAGCAGATAACTGCAGTAGAAGGTAGTGATTGGTATAATATTACTGCAGGACTCAAAGCTGAAAGTGCCTAAAGAGGAAGGAAAGAGGATGGAAATAGCCATGAAGAGCAAGGAGGACCTTACTCTACTTCCAGGTCCAGTAGCATGACCCTGTTAGAGAAAATAGCTAGTGCTACTTTCAGAAAGTTGGAGGCAAAAATAATATCCTTAGGGGAGACGAATGTGAAAGCAAAGTAAGGGAGTATACAAAGAAGGGGAGGAAAGGATTCTGCACTTGATTCACTGGAAGGAGATCAGAGCCCACAATGGGAAAGTTTCAGAAACTGGGAGAGAATGGGAGATGGGATAGAAGAGTATGTACAGAGCCCTGTGGGATCCATCTGGGCACCCTAACCTTGTACATGAATAGAGATGAGAGGGGATGCAGTGAGATAGTTCTAATGGTGGCAAGAGTGTAGATGAGGGTAGGAAGGAAGGACTAAGATTCTGAGAGTATGTGCACATATCCACACACATAGTTTTAATTATATATATGAATTTAATAACTTTCTCTTCAGAGTAACTTTTTCTGTGAAGAGAAAGTTATTAATACATAGCTATCCCAGAAATTGTGACAGTTGCAGAAATACATAAAGAGAAAAATTACCAACAATTTTACTATTCAGAGATAATTATCACGAACATGGTTTGGCACATTTCCTTCCTGGCATGTTTTGGTGTGAATGTTTTATTTAACTACTGTTTTTCTTAATTGTACAAGTTATACATGTTCTTCAAAGAAGTTTTTAGAAACACAGAAAAAAATATAAAACGAAGTAAGAGTGTTTCTGTCACTATCCCTTACCAACATTGAACTTACTCATGTTTTTAAGTTTTGCTAACTTGATAAGCAAAAGAAGCCTTCAGTATTGCTTTAATGTGTATTTCTTACAGTTACAAGTGAAGTTTGATGCTTTGAAAGATCCTCTTTTTTTGATCAACTTTTATAGTGTTTAATTCCTCCCATGTAGGCTCCTGAGTCCTATAAGAATGTGACAGATGTGGTGAATACCTGCCATGACGCTGGAATCAGCAAGAAGGCCATAAAACTGAGACCAATCGCTGTGATCAAAGGGTAGAACTTTAACCAACAGGCCCTCGGATACCACTAACTGTCACAAAATGGAAGTGGACTGAAACACTCTCAGACATCACACTCAAGACCAGACAGGTTCCAAAGTGTGCAGCTGTAACTGCCCCGTGCCAAAATGGTTGACAGGGAGGCTGCCGCTTCCGGGAGCCAATGTTGTAAAATAGCCTTTCAGGGGCTATTTTCCCCATCAGGAAAGGGATGAATGTGCTTCCTCCTCGGTTATTCTTTACACCAAGTTCTGTTTATATCCCAGTAGGTGTCATTAGAGCATTCTATTAAATATAAAGGTTTTGACTTGCTGAGTTTGTCCATCTATGAGCCACCCCTGCACTGAGCAAAATCTTAAATCCCCTTCTCACCTGGAGAGCACCCAGGACATTAGATGAGTGGATAGTGGGATTTGTTGAGGAGGATGTATTGGGGAGGTAAGGAATAGGGGCCCAAAAGAGAAAATAATTTTTCTTAGTCTTGCTGCCTTTCATATTCTAAATACAAGGCAAAGTTTTGCCTCGTCTGTAGCACAATATTTGCTGGTGTCTGTCATTTATTAGGCCTGACCTGGCAGACTTTTTTGAGTGATGCTTTGCATGGCAAAAGCAAAGAAACCTCACATGAAAACCGCTATCTTTACATTTACATTACATTAAATGACCACAGCTGTGACATTAACAGTTGCTCTATGTTGACAGTCTTATGCCACTTAACCAGATTTCAGGTTTTGTATGATGACATCTCAAGGAACTTCAAGGACCATTGCTGTAGGTACTGAGGCCTTGGCTGAGAGCAGACAGCAAGTAAAATAGAAGAGTCTAACAAAGCTAAACAGTGTGCTGTCTGTATTTTTTGCTCAGTAGTTTATAGCATAAGAAAATTAGTTTTTGTACTTGATTAACTTTGGACATTGTTGCTGTTTTCAGATTCCTCCCAGGTGACTTTAGAGACGCATCCTAAAATACTGTTTTCTAAAACTTACTCCTCAGCTTATAGTAAAATCCCCCACAGGGCATTTTCTATATAACCTGCTGCTCTGAAAACCAAAGAAAAGTAGACTTCCTCTGAAAATGTATGAGGTATGAAATAGCAATAACACTTCTTTACTCTGAGTGCTCAGTAACTTCAGTTTTTTGCTGGTAGAGTTTGAAAGTTAGAACTCTTAGGGTAATGCTTATGACCTACACCTCATACCTTCAGAACAGGCCACCACTACTGAGCGTATTGGACACATGTCTACCAGAGGACATTTAGAGATGAGAACCAGGCTTCTAGAAGGGTGTAGCTTCTCTGAAAATGAAGCAGCATTGGGGTGTCTGCAGGCTTACTGTACCTGGGCTTGCTTAATGACATGGCATTTGCAACTAATTCAAAGCAGGTCTCCTTCCAAAACTGATGTCAGCACAGGAAGTGCTGTAGATCACCTTAAATACGTAAGTTGAGTTTTATTAGGAGCTTTGAAAGCTACTCTTGGTGAGGTAAGGGAAATGAAGGGAAGAATGGTTTGTGCAGTGGAATTTTCTGCATTAATAAATTCTGCCTATATGTCATATTCTCCAGCAAATTTGACCCTGTTCATGACCTTAGAAAGTAATGGTTAATATTTTAAAGATATATTGTTTTTCTTTTTCTAAAGATGTTATTTTCCCATTTGAGAAAAAGCCACTTAACAATAAATCTTCAAATGAAGCTGAAGTAACCAACTGTTTTTATTGCCCCAAGGAAAGAAAGACCTCATACCTGTGCAGCTAGGAACGCCCTTTGAGGGATCACTGTCTTGATTCCTTCCATCCTGAAGGATGAGTCACTTCTGTGCACATCTTTGTACTTGCACATGCTAGGAAGCCACTCTACCACTGAGCTACACACCCCTCCCTCCTCCCTTTTAACGGCCTAACTTTACAATTAATAGTCTCAAAACCATTGACATTCACACACTTATAATAGGCTATATCATTCCTGTTATCAGCATAGAGGTGGGAAATCATAAAGTATAAACAAAATTAGTGCACTCACTAAGCTTTTATGACTGTTTCTTAAAGCAGCAAAGAAATGAAGTTTAAATAATAAAATCTTCCAAGATGCTACCATTTTGGTTTTCAAATGATAGTCCATGTAAACCTTGAAAACTTAAGTACATGATAAAGCATTTTTAAGCTTTCCTGTTGTTTTCTGCTAATGACTACGTTTTCTTCTGTCCTTTTGAGAAAGAATGTTGCTGAAACATTTGCAGGTTGTTCCACTGCACAACCTGTCCTTACTGTGTACTGTTCTTTTTTGCATCTGCAATAGTGCTTGACTATAGGGATTTTCATGTTGTCCAGAAAGCTAGAAAGATTTGTGTCCATGTGAACTGGTTAAGTATGAAGGCTGTTCATTTTCAGTCAAGCACCTTGGAGTATGCCAAGTCTTTTTGATACATTCTGATCTTTCAAAATTCTTGCTTTAACACTGAAACACCGTGGATCCAAGAAGTTAAGAAATTACAAGTGGGCATGTTACAAAGAAGTGAGCAGTGATCTCAGACATACTTTGCACAAATAGAGTAAATGAAACCAGTGCCACGAATTTTGTAGATGGTTAATGTTAAAAATCACCATTTTTTAATGCATGATTTTGGTTGCTAATGAATGAATGATGGAGGGAGAGTGGATTATGTGAGCCATGCACCGGAATTTAATGAGGTATTAAGGAGATACCATCCCCTCACTGCAAATTAGAACAAAACCTCAAAAGGTCAGCTTGCCCGCAGCACCCAGTAATGATAGTGTGTCTCCTAAGTTTAATGCTGCTTCCTTATGTCACTCATTTTGTGCTGCTTTTCTTCAGTAGAAGAACCAGCTAGTTCCAGTCTGAAGCTAAATTAATGTGAAGCACTCATAAAAATTTCATTTCAATGGGATTGGTTCTCTGTTTGGCTCTAATTGAGGCAGGTCAGACATCCTGACCACGATGAAGGTTCTGTGATGAAGAGTAATGATTTTATTCTGCTTGATGATTGTGTGTAAAACAAACCTCTCCTGCCTTGTTTTATGGCCCACAACTCAATAAATTCCAGGTAGCTCTCAAAACAATGAGGTCTATCCAAAGACTCCAGCACTCCAAATGATTCTCCCCAGTCAGTGCTAGCTTGAGGTCTTCCTGGAGTTTGCCTTACATCTGTTGTTACAAGTTTCTTTACTAAAGCAGGAGAAAAACAATATAATCAAAACACCAAGACACTTGCCCAAGTTATGGAAAGAAGCAGACCTCTGTGCTCCAGACTCCAAGTCATTGCTTTACCATATTGACAAACATTCTGTGGACAGAGCACGACCAGGTCCTTAAGGGTTCACACAGATTGTAACACTTGGTCTTGCAGTCTAGTTGGGAATATGGAACAGATATGTATACCTGTGAACCAAGTAATTCTAAGCAATTGAAGTGTTGATTGGTAGGCACAAAGTAAATTCTGTAGGGCAAAAACACTGAATTAGAACCCATCTGAACAAGTAGCCAGGCTACTTGAGAGGGGTATCCTCAGAGTACTTCCTTATCTCTCATTCCACCCTTGATTCTCTTTAATCCAGATGGTGCTCTTTCACACTCCAATGAAACTATACAAAAGTTACCAATTAGCTCCTTATTGCTGATCAGATGGGCTAATTTTAGTATTTCTTTATCTCCTGCAATATTTGATGCTATTAATTATTCTCCTGGAATACTTTTTTGGGAGTGGTACTGGGGTTTGAACTCAGGGCCTTGCACTTGATAGTCAGGTGCTCTACCCTTTGAGCCATGCCCCTAGCTAAGAAACTCCCTTAAATGTGTTTATTACACTATGTCTTGACCCTTTTATGCACATTCCTTAAGGGTCATTTTCACACAATCATAACTTCAACCATCATTTTATCTAAGCAGCCCATATCTGTCATAATAACCCCAGTCTTGGAGAAGACGGTACCATTCACCAATCAGCTAAGCCAGACATTGGTGTCATCTTTGATTCCTGCCTCTCCTCTACTCTCACCTAAGTCTTGTCATTTCTAATTCCTGAATACCAAAATCCTTCCCCTCTTCCTTTCAGTGCCTGTATTTTTATTGTCATGCTTATTTCCTATCTCTCAGACTATGGCAAGTGTCTCCTTAACTGGTAGCCTGCTCCTCATAGTCTATTTCTTTTCTGGTAACTGAACCCATGTGTCTTAGAGAACTGAACCCTATTCTCATTTCATGTGGTTTGAGTGGACTGACTCTGTCCCAGGCTCAGACTAGGATACTCAAGAGCATCACTACCTCCATTTTCTGGTTGAAGAATTAGCACATAATCCAGCTAATCCTGGAAATGCTTCTCTATTGCCCAAGATCAAGGTGCCATCTTTCCCCCAGTGTTGCTAAGAGGATATGATGTAGGCTTGGACCTGTTCTCAGCCATTTCACCACACAAGCAAACTTGCCTGAGAACAGAACCCACAGCTTAGGGGCAGGAAAAGCAGGAGCACTGCAGCATGAGACTTGAACTCCTGGGCTTGCTTGTGCCACACTTGTGGACCTCCCAGTAGGGAAGCAGGGGAGATTCTTTGTGCTTATGCCAGTTTTGAATTGAGTCTTCTTGCAACCAGAGATTTCTGGCTGACACAATTGAATAAGATGATTTTAAGAAAACAGTATGGAAAGAAGAGTCAATAGCGAATTGAAAATTTTGCAACAAAGTTGCTAAAAGGATAGTTCCCCTGAAAAACAGGGAAGTACTGAGGAAAATTGTTCCCACTGGATGTGGGCTATTTAGTAGTTGGACATGTTGAGTTTAAGGTGCTTCAGGGCATCTCAGCTACACGTGGAAACACATCACAGTAGTTCAGAAGAGGTTCTCAATGGGCAGTCAACTTCAGAGCAAATGAGATTCCCAAGAAAGCTGACATAAAGAAAAGGAGAAGGCTGAGAATGAAACTTAGGGTATAACTGGTTATGGTGTGAGAAGAAAAAGAAGCCAAGGTGAGGACACTAGCAAACAACCAACTTCACATTAGTAGCTCACTCAGTCATTGAGTAATTCCTGAGCACTACCTTGAGCCAGGCTCTGTATTGAATGCTGGAGCTAGTGACATGGTACAAACTTTCAAGGCTCACAGTTTGGTGGGGCTTAGAGGCAACAAATACATAAACCAATATGAAACCATGTAGACTCAGAAGTGAGAGCAAGGATCTCAATAGACTTCATTCAGTGCTGTAGAGAAGTAGAGACCTGAGAAAGAACCACTGTGTTTATGTTTTGTAACTCACTATTTCCAGAAGTATATTTGGGCAAGTGGCTATTTTAATAAAAAACAATAATAGAGTTTACTGTGTCCCAAGCAGTGGTCGAAACTTTTTATACAATAACTCTTTATCCTCAAAACAATCCTGTGAAATAGATGCTACCCATCTTGTGTACTATTTTCACTGTACACCTGCCTGACCTAAGAAGAGTAAATGTTTTACCAAACTTTGAGAAGAACATGAGTTGACAAGATCGTCAACACAGTGTTCACGTGACTGTCAAATGATTTTGGCTGACTACAAACCAATGAAAAAAATTTTCAGGAAGTTCAACTTGCATGCAGATTCAACTAAAGAATATTCTTTAAATATCTATATTGATTATTAAATGATGATATTTAGCAAATAAACTTGGCAACTGAATTTGGAAAGAAATTACCTTGGGTTGGTTGTATCCTTGGTGTTGGAAAGGGAAATGGCCCTTTGGTGTCTAGCATTCTCAGAGGAGTTTGTGTATTTGGAGAGATTTTGCTCAGCTCCTCTGGAACTGTAGCTCTTTGGAGCCCTTTGCAGCCAATCTGGGTATGACAGCCACTCCACAGGATCCAAACCCATCACCTGGTCTTCTCAGTGACCCTGTCCCACACAAAGCATAGAAGGATGACTGAATCCTTCCATTCATTAGGTCTGTTTTGAGCAGGCCTTGGTACTTTTCTGTTGGACTGATTCCAGTCCTCCAGCAACTAGATCAAAAGGAGGGTTTATGCAATGACAACAGTGACTCATCTGATGGATCGCTGTTCTACATATTTATAAACAAGCTTATGAAGGGCAAAATGCCAGGGAAATCACCAGGTTTAGAACATCTGATGCCACCCATCACTGTCATTCCTGAAGCTGCCATTTTCATGACTTTCTTTAAATAGCAAGAACAACATCTAACATTTCTTTAGCACCTACTAACAACATCTCTAGCACAAAGTAGTGCTGCTAGTCCATAGATGAGTAAACTGACTCAGGTAGGCTAAGTTGCATGCTCAAGGTCATACAGGTAAGTGACGGAGTCAAAATTTGAGTGGAAGAATATTCAGAAGCTCATGTTTTATTCTGTGCACTATCCTTCTACGTGCTTCCACTCAGTGTCCTTCACTGTGGTTTTCTTCTTTCAACTCAGTCCCATTTTACTTAACCAACACAGTCCATGTTAACAGAAGGAAAGGAGACATAAGAAAATGGGAAGATTAAGTCGTTTCCCCAAAGTGATTTGGACCAGCCACAAAGTTGACAAGCAAAGGGAACTTGCATCTGTATAACATCTATTATAAAATATTTCAAAGTCTTTACTTCAACCAAGCATGGCAACCTTTTTGAGCTTTCGCTGGAAGGAACCATATTTTTCTCTTGGGAGCATCAC